CTGCGCACATGATTCAGAATGATTATACTGGCCGCGATCGGACACTTTGCGCCATTTTCCAGTCGTGCGACAGAACCACCGCTTCGGGGAACCGCGGAGGAGCTCGGCTATGGATTTAGGTGCAGGGCTGCTGTACCATACATCGATACTAAAGGCTGGGCCGAGTCATGGGTCTTCCTGATTTAGGGATGCATGCATTAGTTAGCAGTCGGTTCCAGCCCGCTGATATCTCCCGAGTGAGGTATTGACTTCACCATTTAGGTAACAGAGCACGCGAGACAGGCTGTACAGTGACCTAGTATAACCCCCTGTTCTTCGTTACATTTTCAACAAATGGGGCACACACCTCACACTGTAGAGCCGGGGACCTCCGGATCCTGCAGGCTCAGGGCTTACGAGAGACTGCATGTCAGACCCTCCACGTCAGGCCCTGTGGATAGCGCGGACAGGGTATATTGCTAGTCTGATTTAACGGAAAACAAATCGTCTCCCCCTTCTGAAGCCGAGACGCTTCGCTTTGGAAAACTCATTTGTCTCTATTTCGGAGAAAATTGCTGAACGATTATTGCAAAAACATAGGATTTTCCGTCCCGATGCACATTACGTCAAATATTCGCAACCTGGAAAAATTCCTCACGGCGTTCCCATGGGCGGACTCTCAACAACTGACGGAAGCCGACCTTATTGAAAATGTCTCTACTCTGCCAGATACTCGGGCTCATCTCTGGGATCTGGTAGCTGCCAAAGTGGTTGCTGTTGGAGACACCGTGACAGAGGATCGCGAGGGCCATGAGCGACCGTTGGTGCTGAACGAGCTGCTGATTGCCCCCCTTGTTGGCCGCGAGTCCAGTCTGGGCCACAGCTCGGTTCTGCCCACTGAGGGAGTCGTGGTGGGCTCAACGATCGACTACGTCAGCACTGGAGGCGGCCTGGGGATATCCCCAGACAATCCTCCCGGCAAGGGCGACCCGTCGAAAGTCCGGATCATCGGCTTATTATGCTATACAGATGGCCAAGTAGCCAAAGCACAGGACTTTGCCAAAGACCTGCCATGCACAGACACGTTGAAACCAGTCATTGTCGTGGTGGGATCCAAGTCTGATGCCGGCAAGACGACCGTCTGCATCGACCTCCTGAAGGGTCTTGCTGCTGAAGGGCGGCAGGTTGGTGTTGCGAAAGCTTCGGGCACTGCGCAGCGCAAGGAGATTGAAGAACTAGCCGTGCATGCGAACGAAGGTCTCGATACGGCGGATGCTGGGATGCCAACCACCTACCCGCCCTCTCAGGAGTCGGACAAGTGGGCCGAATGCACGCACCGAAAGTCACTCCTGGCACTTGAATCAAACCTTCGGGCCCTGTCTGTTGCTAATGAGGTCATCGTGGTGGAGTTCGGAGGCGATTTGCTGTCTGCAAGTGTGCCTGAAATCCTGGAGGACCCAGGTCGCCTGAACATCGTTGCGGTGATCATGGTGGCAGAGTCGGCGACCGCGGCTATCGGAATGGAAACAAAGCTGCTCAGGATCTCTCCCAGTTATGCAAGCATACCCTACTACGTCGCGGGGCCAACAGCAACTCTCAGAGCGAACAGGAATCGTGTGGAGCGTGAGACGCAATGTGCAGGATGTTATGACCTCTGGACCAAGACAAACTCTCATGCATCTCAGAGTCAACGAGATGCGAGCACTGCCTCTTCGCAGAAATTAACACGGAAGGTGCTGGAGCATTGTCGCCTGGGGTCTGTTTAGTTGTTGCGCAGGTAAATGGGCAATGTGATCGTCGAGATCTGGAGACCACTTTTCCAGGCGGATAAAAGCCAAAGATACAATGACTGGGACATCCGTAAGACAGGCTTGTTTGTCTACATGGGCTTTGTACATAGCGAAAATATGACAGCTTCTCCAAGGGGTTTATGGCCATTGAATTCCACACAGGTGTTTCATAGTAGTGGGCTTCTGTGAATGAGAACTGGTCGTCGTTGACAACAATTAAATCTCCCGATTCGACAACAACTTACCACAATTTTACAAGACGTTCTACAAGGCTCACTGTCTGTCTAGAAGTCGTTTTTAATTTTTCTCTAGTAGTAACTATAGCTTTTACAGTCGAGACTGAGGAAAATTCATTCATATATGTAGCGTGATTGAAAATGCCTGAGATTCGAACATCTGTGGATGTTCTTCTTCGAATCATGGGTTACGCTAATCTCAAAGCTTGGCAGTATACAGTTCTTTCCCCTTCTCTTCTTCCAAGAGGAGATTGTTCAGAGGAGAAATTTGCTGGCTGTTTATATTGAGAAGCTCCTTAGCGGTGATGATATAGTTGTCCGCTGCTCTGGCATTTCGGCCCTGGAGAAGTACCTTGATCACTTTCTTCACGTGGATTAAGGCGTATGTCATTGCTAGTGCGCGATATTCCCGTGCTGACTCGCTCAGACTTTCGGCCTTCTCTAATTTCTGTAGAAGGTACCCGAAGTTTCGAAATTGAAGGGCACGATCCCAAGATTTGTTCCCAAACGAGAACCCCGACTGCCTCGTGGCCAGCAAGAAGGTCGATATAGCATCAACTGCGGCAATCTTCGCCCTCATTAAATGATTCGCATAAATGATGATATTTGCCCCAGCCTGATGCAGCTCCTTGTCCGTAATAGAGCCGTAAGTGGTCGGTACTACAACTAGGGGGGTGTCCGCATCTTGGGATCGGAACTGAGTCAGAAATGACAACACCTCGAGCGGGCTTTTCGATTTGCTGTGGATCATAATAGCATCTGCTCCGCAGCTCTTATAGAGTTCCGCACGCGCTAGCGCATCTTCGAGGGCCAGCTGGACCGACGTAAATTCTTTGGCTTCGTTCTCGTCCGGCGTGCGGGTGGTGAAGCTCTCGATCCGTGCAGTAATCATTATCTCTCTATCCCTAGCGGCGTCTCTGAATGCTTGAAGGATCGTGGCAAACTCGTACATATTCGCCTGGCCCTGGGAGTGGGAGGCGCCAGCAAGAGAGTTGACCTTCTGACCCGGCGATGTCAAGCTCTTGTCTTCGATTATCACCATGGAGATACCCAGGGACAGCAGACACGATATTAATTGCGGAATCTCCTCGACATTGCCACCGCTATCTGCGTCGAACGCAGCGCAGAGCGGACGGCGCCCATCCTGCTGAATATTGTTGTTCGAGCCCGACATGTGCACCGCACGTTGAAGGGGAGAGATCAATTCTGTATCTGGGATCCCCAAATACGTGGTCTGGGTCAGGCCACTTAGCCAAATTCCATCAAACGACTCGCCATCCTCACTGAATGTCCCGCGGATTGTCTCCTTAGTGGCATGGTCATGAGCCTCCAGTAGCCGAACTCGGCCCTGGCTTTTCTTCAATACAGACTTGATGGAAGGGGACATTGTACGAACTCGGGTGACAGTCAATTTGCTAAAGGCTCCAGTACCACCAAATCCGATATCTCTCTGCTGCCTTTGAGTATGTCAAGCGACCTCTCATAGATTCAGGTAGGCGACTACGCTACGTGCATATAAATCGAAGGATCCTATCCTTGCAAGGAGCCTTGACCTATGTGGTCCGGTTTCGTTAAAGGAAATTTCATGCATCCTGAAGGCTGAGCCACGTCATCGACTTGAGTAATTATGCCAAACCCTGTCAAGCCTTTGTATAGCATTCTAGAGATTTCAACCTAATGCACACTGGAACAGATGAACGGAACGCCTTTCTTCTTACTCGATTCCAGAGAATTCTTACAAAAAACGTCAAATAGGCATTTTCACTTTGTCCACCAAAGGTGACCCAGTATTGTTTGCTTATAGACCAAATATACAAGGTGATACGTGGAAACCTGCATTCATTACTCGCCGCGGAACAGGCGCACCAGTGAGAAGGCGTGCGATCTGCTTGTTTAGTTGGCCAACACGTACACGCGGAGGCTATACAACGGGCTCTGATATGCAAAGTCCGATTTGACCTATGCGCAGTGTCCAACATGCTCGAGGTCGAAGTGGGTCTCGTTTCTATCCCTGTTCGTTTTGGTACTTGTGCTGTCCAATGACAAAATATAGAGGTAGCCTGGAACTCGTTCGAAGGTGATGTTTATCGCGTTGGTATTGTTAGTTACTCTACCCTACATACCGAGGGTGAAGCATACATATGACATATGACAGATATGGTCTATGCGCATCGGAATCTCCTAGAGAGGCAGGCAGCTAATTTTATCATGTCACATCATCCGGGCCCATGCAGTACGCTACAAGCCCATTTATTCTTTTTTGGGGAAGGTATCATCCCGGTCCACACGCACTCCACCAATCATAGGCTGAATATGCAAGCTGATACCTGGAAATCTGTATGTCACTTGCTGCGGAACGGACGGCACGGATGGACCGGTGGCAAAGTGAGTGATCTGCACTGGAAGCCCACTTGTTCTCTTCCGGGGTGGTGGTATAATCCAGGCCCACTTATACAGCACCGACAATGCTTGTTTCTCAGCTCGTTATCCAGCCAGTAAGATCAAGGATATCAGAGGAACTTTAGAATCTAAGAAAAGACGACTGCAGCTAAAATCTTACGTAGTACTCTCTTAGTATTTTTTTAACTGGTAACTAGCCCTTGCTAGCCCACTTAGGCTTATCAATATATGATTTAGTAGGGTTACAATCCCACTCGAAGGGTTTTCTGAGACAAAGAACAAATCTACGATAACAGTAATCTTAGTTGACTCCCTGTTCCCTAGTTTAATAGAGGATGAGGTATATATTATTATACAAGTACATGTAATACTTGTATTTTATTTCCCAAGTAATAAATATTTACAGTCACTGTAAACCGATATCCTGACTTATATATCAAGGTATTATGAAAATTGATTTATAATTCTTAGGCATGTGACCCAATGATATCATACTATAGTACCCTTGCGTATAAGAAGTTGACCAAATATGAGGACACTACGAAGTTTGAAATGCCACACCACCGCAGTAGATCGCTTGTCAGATACGGCAGAGATGTCATCTACCAGGAAGATACCAGTCCTTGATTTGAAACTCGCAGAGGATCCCTCAACGCGAGGACTTCTTCTTGATCAGTTGCATGATGCATTATTCAACATCGGCTTTCTGTATATTTCCAACCATGGAGTCTCGGAAGAGATCATAAGTGCTTTGGCAGAGAAGCTTCCGGCGCTCTTTCATTTGCCGCTAGAACGAAAGAGAGAGTTGTCTAAAACTAAATCCCCCCAGTTCCTTGGTTTTAGTGACTTTGCCCAGGAAACCACTCAGGGGAAGCTTGATTTGAGGGAGCAATACGACATTGCTACGGAGCTGCCTGAGGTCTACCAGAAGGATGCAGTCCCGAACGACCGGGGAAGAGATTTTTCGAACTTGTACTGGAGGCTCAGGGGTCCAAACGTGTGGCCGTCAGAAAATGAAGTGCCTGGCTTTAAGAAAGCGGCTAACGAGTAGGTACCTACATGACGATCAGCAGCAAGTGGTTTCGACTGACATTTCCTCATTTTCTTGAATGCGTTCGCCGAATTATCCTACAGGTTCGTGCATCTCGTGGAGGAAGCATTTGGCATCCCAACAGGGACATTCGATGGCTTCTTCAACGAGAATGCAGCTTCCGCCACCGCCGATTCCACCCCAGAGGGCGACTTTCTTCCTCCTCAGCATCGGCTTAGACTCAACTTCTACCCGGCCATGCAGCCAGAGCAAGAGGGCCAAGGCGTAGGCCCGCACAAGGATATGGCTGGATGGCTCACCTTCTACACCAGGTTGGTTCCGAATGTGCCCTGGATGTGCAAGGCAGAGACGGCAGTTGGATTCCTGTGGACCCAATCCCAAACACTCTCGTTGTCAACTTAGGCTACGCCTTTGAAGCGGCCACTGAGGGTGCAGCCAGAGCCACAGTTCATCGAGTAAGGGCACCTTCACAGAAAGATCGATACTCGATTCCCTTTTTCATGGGTTTACCACTCGAACTTAAGCTCTCAGAGGTGAGGAGCTTTATCCCAGAGAGTGTCAGGGCATTGAGACGCAAAGAGCTGGAGAATGGCGAATGGACCATAGACCAGAAGATCGAAACCTTTTTGGACCCGAGATGGGACAGCATCGGTGAATCCGTACTGAGAAGGTTCATTAGAGGATACAGGGAAACAGCTCTAAAATTCTATGGGCAGGAGGTGTACCAGTACTACACTCAGTGAACCCGTGTGGGTAGGCTTACTTATGCTTTCATTGCAATTTTGGATAGTGATAAATTGACGAACTCGATGCAAAGTTGACTACCTACTGAACCAGCGTTCATTCAATTTCGTACGTGAAACTCCTTCGTACTTTCTGTCCCAGCCTGAGACAGTCCTCTCTACTCCTTCTACTGGCCACGGAAAAATATGCTAGGTAGCTGAATACTTTGGCCTTGGGTCCGAGTAATTTGTCCCCCTTTTTCTTCATCGTCTTATAGTCTACGATGGCCAATCGTAGATCTTCATGCCGCTCCAACATCTCTTTGCCGGCGTCAAGACTTTTCATCACGCCACTTTTGTCCTCTGGAATGATGATGACCTGAAGCCACCATTGTGGGCCATGGCAGAAAGGTACGCTCAGCGCACGACATCGATCAAAGTCGCCGAGAGCGGCCAGTATGTGATTGGCATAGTAGTCCACACCGTAGGTCAACAGCGTAGCACTACTCACAAAATAACCACCCGGTCGAGCATTGATCTCATGCAGGTAGAAGGAGGGTTCCTCGTTGCCTTGTACCCGATCGCTGGGATACAAGTCAACAATGCCATCACGCGTATCGTACGCTTTGGATGCATAGCGAATTCGCCCCTCGCAGTGAAAGACGCCGGTCCGGAAGCCTTGCCGCAAAAGGGTTTGATGAATCGAATCCTTCGTAACTTGAATTTCTTTTGGGGAAAGCCCTGTCGGGAGAACCATATCTGTCTCCATGAAGGAGCCGTTCATTGCATTCCCAGCCTTTTCGCCAGCTTTGGGAAAGTCATCTGCAACCTCAAAGAAGATGATATCCCCTTCGATCAGAACAAAATTAGCATCAACTTCAGGCCCCTCGATATACGGCTCAATCATCACATCCGACCGCGGGTTTGGCCCTTCACTGTGTCGACTTGAAGCCCGTGCGACTGCTTGAATGAGTTCTTCTTCGGTCTGCACTTTGGCAACACACTCACTACCCCACCCCATACAGGGTTTCACGATTACAGGGTATTTAATGGGCGAATTCGTCTTGGACCGCAGCCGTGTGCGTAACTCGTCGATATTGAAGATCTTGAATGCTCCTCCGTTATCGGGTTCCATCTCTCGCGTCTTGAACTTGTCTCCAGCAATGATGTATGACTCGGGTGGCGCAGACCGGAACCCCAATATTTGACAAGCTCGTGCAGTGCCGATTGCTCCAGCATTGTTGACCGTCACAAGCGCATGGATAGGCTTGTCGTAGCTACGCACCGCGGCCACGATGCGGTCTACGAACCCTTGGTCAGCGGTGATATCGGTTGGAATAAAAGCTTCTCGTAAAAAGCTCCAGCGGTCATCATCCTTCTGAAACCAATGCCCGTCATGGTCCAGAATCACCACCTTGATGCCCAATGATCGAGCGGCTTCCCATATGCGCCTCCCGCTCTCCAGGTCCTCCTTGCCTTTTATCCACGCGATGCGTTTCTCTTCAATTGGCTCAGGCGAGATCCATGCGAATGATAACCTGTTCGCTAACTCGACCTCCAGACTGGCAAGCTGCTGTTCGCTCTGGACTTGAACGGCTCCAACAGCATGGGGTAGAAGATCAAGTACGCTCAATGGAGATTTACTATCCAGGCATCGGAAATCAGGAGCTTTAATTTCTTCTCTTGGCGTCAAAAAGCTTTCGACACTCAACGCACCCTCGTAACCTTCCAGACGCCGCTCAAGGAAGTCGGACCTGACCGTGAAGCCAGACTTTACGGGCAGAATGAACTTGATAGCAAGAACGGAAGATGCCGGCAGCGGCTGCTGGAGAAGACGTATGAGAAAATTGGACGCACGATCGTCCGATCTTAATTGCAAGGCATTAAGTGCGCTTGATGGAGGTAGCAGCGCGGCGCTACTACCAATCGACAAGAGATCTAGTGTCACATCTAGAGTTCTATGTAGAGGCTCTCCGGGTGCAACAATATTGGCTTGCCACAACCCGTCGACGTAGACTACCAACAACGTCAGTGTTCAGTGAGAGGCAAAAGCACAGCGAGGCTGAATACCATCCTTCCCTTCTACCTTGTATTGGAACTTGCTTGCCTCCACACTAGGCATCATGAATCGTAAAGAAATGCTGATTAAAACTTGATGAAGATAATACGTGCGAGCAAGAGGGGTACGGTACTCTCGTCAGGCAACTTCGGGGGTAAGCGGCGGCACTTTAACAGTTTAACTCGTACTTCATAGAGTCCACTGGTCACATGTTGGACACTGTGCATAGATCAAATCCGGCTTAGCATGTGCGTATTGGTCAACTATCTGTACACCAGATTTACAGTATCTGTAGAGGTTGTACATTTGCAAAATAAAATACGAATACAAGTATACATATTTGGATAATCATATATATCTTATTTTCTACTGAGCTAGAGGGCAGGGAGTCAACTAAGGTTAATGGTGGGGTAGCTTTGTACCCCAGGTAGAGAGTGGCGTATGGCTAGGTTAGAACCCCCCGGGAACAGGGTTACAGAACACATTGTATACTTTTTTTCATTCCCGCCCGTTCCGCGGCAAGTAATAAATGAAGATTTCCATATATCACCTTAGATTTGGTCTATAGTTGGTGGTGTAAGTGGACCTGGATTATGCCTTCCCAGAACGAAGCGAATGGCCACGTACGCAATCCAGCCACCAATGTATTCCATACCAAACAGCCATTTCGTGTATCTTGGTACCTCAATGAGATTGTTTGTAAATCATGGCCCAAAATTACTTGTAATATACAACGTGCTCAATAATAATATCATCAAAAATTCATAAGAAAAGTTTAACATTGCCCTGTACTTTTGGCTGTATATATATAACTTAGTGTAATTTTAAGATCCATTCATTGATTTAAAAATTCATTTTAAACGCATGTTCTCTTTTTCTACTAAATAATAGAGTAAACATGTAATTTTCGGTTAGTCCATACAAATTCCAGGGCACATAACCCCTGGCTATAAGCAGTAAATTTCTAAAAAACACAGTGGAAGATGTGGGTAAAAGTAGTGTGCAAAATGATCCGTACTATTGTCAGACAGGAACAAAACAGTCGGGTACCTACCTCACCGTCTGTTACGGAGTTGATCGGCGGTAAGCTTTGTGGCTAACGATGGTGTAATTCTTGATGTTCCCACATGTCCGATTTGCTGTCAGCCCCCCTTCTCGCTCGTGTGATATATAGGTAATCATGGGAATGTCCATTTTTGGTAACCATTCACTTGTACCGTTTTCCAATGCGATGGCGAGGATTGTTGATACTGGAAGCGGCCCTTCGGGCATTGATCATGAATCTCTCTCGGCTCGAGATGCTACAGATGAAGAGATTGGGTCTTTGAGACATGTCGTTGACAAGCTACCCAGAAAAGTCTGGGTCTCCTTGATCGTAAGTGGAGCAGAGCGCTTCACATACTACACAATCACAACTCCTTGGCGTAGGTGCACAGCGAGATGATGGGACATGATATGATATACTGCTAAGACATAATGGCAGAGAACTACATACAGAATGATCCGGGTGATGGTGCCGTGCCAGGTGCTCTTGGGCTGGGGCAGTCTCGCGCGACCATGATCTTCAACGCCTTCTACTTATTCTATTACTTGGTGCCCATCCCTTTCGCCCTTGTGTCGGATGCATGGCTAGGGCGATACGTGGTTCTCTGTATCAGCCTGAGGTGCGTGTGAGCGGGTCAAGGCACCAGGACTTGGCCAGGTTGCTAACACAATATAGCTTGTATTTCTGTGGCACGCTCGTACAGTTTATAACGTCTCTACCCTCGCTTTTTCGCTATGAATCAGGCCTCGCGGGCCTTATTCTCTCTATGATATTAATAGGTCTCGGTGTTGGAGGAACAAAAGCAGCAATCACGCCCTTCATCGGTATTTTATCCTGTGAAGCACCTTATATTGGATTAAATCTAATAATGGCATTAGGAGATCAATACCCGGTCAAGCCTCCACAAGTCAAGACCCTGGCAACCGGAGAACGCGTGATCATAGATCGAACTTTGACCTTGCAGTATATTTACAACGTCTACTACTGGTTAGCATCTTCAAGAATCAATGGGTGGCACAGGCTAACCCATAGTAGGATCACCAATATCGCCGCACTCTCTATCCTGGCGTCGACTTATCTCGAGAAGGAACGTGGCTTCTGGGCGGCTAATGTCCTTGCGTTGTGCTCATCCTGGATTGGGGTTGCCTTGCTTGCTATATTTGGCAAGGAACTCGGTGCGTTCCCACATACCAACATTAGGGTGTGGCTGATTAGTTGCAGAACGGTACCCAGCTCAAGGTGGTGTTTTGTTACAAGCTGGAAAGGTTCTGACATATGCTATCCACGATAAGTTCAAGATGGATGCTGCACGACCACACTACCAATTAGAAAAACACAATCGGGCAGTCCCATGGACGGATCGTTTCGTTACAGAGATTCAAAGTGGGCTTCGTGCATGTCAAGTCATGTAAACTTTTTCCCCCTGGAATTCTCCCTTTGGGATACGGGACACGAGAGCTTACTGACCGTGTGACGGATAGGGCCTGGTTCGTGTTGTTCCATCTTGGTATCAACCAAATGACCAACAACCTCGTTTCGCAAGCAGGCGAAATGCAGCTCGCTGGCTTTCCCAACGACGGGATTCAGGTTCTAAACCCAATCGCCTGCGTTTTACTTGGCCCAGTCATCCAGAAACTACTCTACCCAACCCTTGCTAGATACCATATCCCCTTTGGTCCCCTCATGCGCATGACTATGGCCTTCTTGACAATGGCAGCGACGTTCGCCTACGCTGCTGGAGTGCAGAAGATGATTTATAATTCTGGTCCCTGCTACGAGGCTCCATTGGTTTGTCCGGCAGCGCAAAGAGTCGGACAGTCCGCCTTGCCTAATGAAATCAAGGTCTGGGTGCAGACGCCTATATATGTGATCTTAGCTGTGTCTGAAATATTCGGCTTCGTCACTCTCAGTGAGTATAGCTACAGCAAGGCACCTAAGGATATGCGCACTGTAGTCCAGTCGATGAGGCAGCTGAGTGCTGGCATTGGAAGCGCTATCGGTATAGCTCTCGGTCCGGTTTCACGTGATCCAAAGGTATTATGGATGGACGTCGGATTGGCAGTAAGTTTGGGGCTTTCAGGGCCACTATTTTGGGCGGTTATGGGTCACCTTGAAAAAGAACAGGACGATATGGACACGATGCTTCTGAACGATGACCGGAGTAGGGAGGCACACACTGGGGGTGAGGCCATTTCAGGCACTAAGAACTGAATATCTTAACCGACTGATATTCGGCTGTACATACATGCGCTTTTAGTAAACCACATTGCAGAAGAGGCTACGATAGAGGATGTGACATGGGAGATGCGGGTGAGGAAAGATTGGGATTATGGTGTCCTGGGAATTGCCGTTGAGCCAGTCTGACTTGTGGAGCTCGATACATTGACTGTGTCTCATCTTGTCCCTCTCTGGAGCAACGCTCCGACCAGAAGTCACATAGCTTCTCCATGGTACTATTTAGAAATATTGAGCTACAACCAGCTGGAAAGTCTTGGAGAGGGGGACACATACTGAGGAGCTAGTACTTCTAATGTATATAGAAGACACCGGTTTCTCGTTCTCTGCTGTACATAAAAGTCCGCGTGGTGACCTTCTTCAGAAGAATTCGCTTCCTCTGTATTAACTCCAGCACTACACTGGCAAGTACCAAGTAGAAATGGGATTAGAAAAGTATGATTTGGAGAACTGAAAATCGTAAAGTTTAGGCAGAAAATTCTGAAAGCAAGATACTAATGGAATATCTACATCTGATCGGTAATCATTTATCCTGCAAAGAAGATTAAAACGCAGGCTAAAATGTCTAGATGGGTCTCTCCATATTTCACTATCGGTTCACTATAGCCGATAGGCATCCTATAGTTTTTGCCAAGGTATCGTGTTATCTTATACTGCTAGATCGACGAATTAGGCAAACGTCTGAGATCAATACGGAGCATACTCTATGCAGAATTGAATATCGAAGTCGCAGTTGTCGACACCCTAAAATACGAGGCAATGCAATGACTTGGGTATTCTTGGTATTTCGTTTGCCATGAAATCAAATACCATCGTCTGTGTGGGTGACTTAGGACTATGCGGTGGTAAGCCGATCGGATGAACGAGCTCGAAGGTGAGATCCAGCCGAACCAATTTTCTGAACAAGTTGATTAAAGAAAGAACGAAAATCATGAGCCAGGTTCAAACAGATCGCTCTGATTAGACATCGGCAGAACCCACCATGGACCGAAAATCCATGAGTAGGTATTATAGTTATGAAAATCGGAATATCAGTCGCCTTCAGGCTGACACCCTTCTGGAGTAGGTCCATCGAGTACCGGCTAAACGCTACCATCAGTCTGAGTCTTCCAACTGGACTTCCAGCCAGCACTATCAAACGGCCACCCAACCAATCCAATACTGAGTATTGGACTCGCTGCGATCTCCTCCTCTTTCGCCTTGAGTTCATCAACGTCCCAGTTCGCCCACAGATATTTACCTCTCAAGAAATGTGCTTCGCCGCTTGCGAGCCAAACATTGAAGCTTGCCGGCAGAGAAACTGATACAAGAGTTAGTCTATGGAAAAACTCTTTAATCAATCCGCGTACTACTTACCATCATCCGCGAAGCCCATAGCAGCAACGCCGCCCGCTTCCCTATTCATCGCCGTGTCCACCACGCCCGGCTGTACATGAAAAACACTCAGCTGCGGGTTTGCAAAAGCGAAAGAATCCCAAAGTCGAAAGACCGCCAACTTGGCAATGCTATAGGAAGAAAACCCCGGGGTAAAATTGATATGTGCTGCAGACGAAGAAGTCTCAATGGCAACCGCATCCTTTGACGCGTACCGAAGGAATGCCTGCGCGATGTTCAACGATCCTTTCAGGTTCTGTTCAATGGCATCGAGAAACTTGTCACCGTCCACATCACCGACGGCATCCTGAGGGCCAATCACTGCCGCGTTGCTGACGAGAACGTGTACATTTCCGTCGCCGATGAATCTGCCGAACACTCCATCAACTTCGTTTTTCTTCGTGATGTCGGTAGAAGCCACGAGTACTTCCACGCCAGAGCATTTGGTGTCGATGGAGGCTTTCGTGTTGAGAAGGGGTTGTTCTCTACGACCGAGGAGGACGATACGAGATGCGCCTGCTTCTGCGAAATGGCGAGCGGTCTCTGCGCCGATACCGCTTCCTCCTCCAGTTATTACGATGGTTTTTCCTTTGGCGGAAAGCTCGGGGCGGGTGGGAGATATGGATTGGTATGTTTCCGTGTGCCACTTTGAGGTTGCGGATGGAAAGGGAGCCATGCTGATTGTGAAATGTATACAGAATTGGCAAGAGCAATTAGGCGGTTGGATGTATTGTTTGACAAGGAAAATATCTGGGAGAGGCATGCATATATTTAAGTATACTCGAGTACGTTACCTCCGATACCATGGTGGCGTTGTGCAATTTGAAGCCAGCCTGATGATCATATCTACGAGACTAATATGAGTTCTGTACTCATCTTAACGTCTAAATCCAATGTCGTTAGAGAAAGGGAGGTTCAAGGGGTGTGGAATCTGTCCAGAAAGACGGTTACAAAATGTTCCGGGATACTTGGCAGGTACAAATTGTTCCGCCTCGAAGTGTGTTTAGTACTGTACAATAAACTTCGCACATGTAAGCCTTCTAAGGTCGGCCGCCAACAGGCTATTTTTAGTAAGAGATCTCAGTGCTGACAAATGCTATCGAAATTTGAAAATGACGTCTTTATATCAGACATGTCGGAACTTCCAAAGTTTTACGCGGTCAAATTTGAAATGTACGAAGGACAAGTGAAATCTGTTCTACGGTGTGGACGTTGCAATAAACCATTCGATAAGGGTGAGTTTCTATTCCCATCAGGTTTTATTTTCTCTCAGACCGGGCTCTGTCTTAAAATGTGATATCTTAGAGTCCACGCTGAAGAGACATGGATATTACTGTCGATCCCGAAGAGTGCGAAGTGACATTCGGGCTCGATCTTGTATTGCCTGCGCGAGAGGAAAGGCGCGTTGTGATAATAAGCGGGCCGAATGCTCGAGGTGCGAAGCCAAAGGCATTAGATGTCAGTACCCAGCGACTACGTCCAAGGGTTCAGAGCCAAGGACTCAGGCCCGTGACGACGATGAACAGATCGAATGCTCGCAGCAGGTCCCTTCGTCGGTGGCAGATGTTCCCGGGGCTGGAAACACTCTAGAAGCGAGCAACGGTGGTGATGTACCTCTCGATGGAGCCATAGCACTCACAGACCCCGAATTCGCAGTTCTTGGAGGGAGATATGGTAATGACATCATATCATACCTTGATTTCAGCGATCTCCTAACTGCACATGTGGATGACGAGAACGTTCAGTATACTCCATCAGGGTCGTCATCTTACATCTATCATTCGACATCGTCGACCCATGAAACAGTTCAAGTACAACAACCCCTATCTTATCCTAAGCCTTCCATCCCGCCTGTACCAACTCAAGCTATCCGATCGCTTGTCAAGCGCCCAAACATGGGAACCGGGACACACAGGGTAGCAAAGCTGATACTCCACAATCTAAAATCTTATTCCCAAATGATGCTAGCCCACAACATGTTTCCACCATTTATCCACCCAGCTATGGTATCTTCCGATATCTGTAACCCCGATTTCGAACCACTCGCCAATTGCATCGATCTGGTGCATATGATCGGTAGCGGGATCCAAGCGAGTCGAAGGTTGTTCTGGAAGAACGTACGGATGGAATGTGAACGGTTTTGCGACGAGGTATGTTGATATAAGTCTATTTAGAGAAGATGAAGGCGTATAATGAGCTAATAAGCAATGTTAGCACCTGAAGTTAAACAAGTGGGAACTGCTGGCTGCCATGCAAGCCCTCTCTATTTATATCATCATTCGATTAGACGAAGGCGAGACGGAGTACAATAACTTTGATTTACTGTTGCTTAAGACGATCACAGTAAGTCTAGCTTTAGTATTTCCTCCCTTTATGCCATCCGTAATAATATAATCTAGGCATTGTCTAAGCAGCTCAGCGGCAGTGAGCTTACAAAGAATGTAACATTTGCGCTACACAACTCCGATCCTAACAACAGCTGGAAGGAATGGACCTTTGAGGAGTCAAGGCGAAGGTTGGAGTCCCACAGTCTATCCTCTTTTACAATACGATGGAGATCGAAGTGCTGATTCAGGCAAAGATTATGCGTAATTTATCGTGTCGTGAATATGCTAGTTTACTTTGAACCCGCAGCAATGTGTGGTTTGCAGACGGACCTTATTATAGCACCCCTTCCAGCAAAGAAGCAGCTGTGGGAGGCAGGAAACGAGCTTGTATGGAAGGCAGAAAGTGAAAAAGAACCTGGGATCCAGACTCCGTTTGGGCTGGCTGCCAACGGTGATCTAGTCAAACTCGGGAAGGTCAGTTATATTGTACCGATGAAATGCTGACTCAGAAGCCATTTGCTACCAGAGGCTCGGCAAATTGGGAGGAGTGGTGCTCGGGAATGGATGGCTTGGGCGGGCTTATAATGCTTGCTGCTTCTTTGATAGGGTAGGTGCCAATACAGCCATAGACAGCTGCTCCGTGAAGAACCTCCCATAATCACTTCCTAGCGGCCATGGGCATTTTTCTACTGTTGGTATTTGCTGTTATGTCGCTTCAAACACGGGTTCATAGGGTTAAGATACTGCATACTATGCACAATCTGTATTCTAGGGATACGTAGCTATTATAAACCGATCTATGTTGACGACATCTATTGTGTTTCTGTGGCGAGTAGGCTCGTATCAAATCCAGAATCGCTGTTTACAACAGTGGAACACAATAATGCGCGATTCGATTTGATATCAAGCCACTCTTTAAGCAGGCTGGACGAATACAAACACCTTCACAGCTTCATGGATGTGTTTGGATGTAATGCTGACCCAAGGGGAAACACAAGATTTGTCAGACGGTCATAGGTAAATAGTTCGAGAGGAAAACATACCAGAGGTGGCCATGGAATCCTCACATGGTCACCCTCCACTGGTATACCTGTAAGCTGTCAAATTACTGGAGAGTCCTGTATACTCTTCGTCGGTTTAGTTGGCAGTATGAGTGTCAAGCTTTGATAGAGCGCCTGGCCCTGGTTGAGAGTTATAATGTCCATACTGAAGATTGAAGTCTCCTCAAAACCTAGCTTATCAGGGATATGTGTCTGAATATTATCCTTGGTAGCGATACATTCTGTAAAGAAACTGTCCACGGGCTGGACAGTGTTGGTACTGGGTACAAAGCCGTAGATACAGTTGCCCCTCTTGAATGGCTTCTTAGATGTGCACTGATATCATGGATAGTTATGGAAGCATGGAGATCGTCAACAAGTAGACTTGGCTTATAAATGCATTCCGACATATTTTTTTGAGATACACAGGACTTTGTGGTCCGTTCTGCAGACCCACTTGATCCATGCCATAGTACATAACTGCGAAACATACTCTTGGAGATTTGTTCTTGTCAATCAAATTGCAGATGGATTAATTGACTAATAACACTCTTGATAGTCTCTGCTATACATGGCTAGGCATACGCCTCATCAACAAAATCCACCACCTGCACTTTCGCCAAGTATCCCTTGACACTCGCGACAAGCCCCAGATGCACCCGATCTTCCTTCACAAAGTAATCACGGTCCTGCTCATTCGCAAATACAGAGACAAAGCCATGACTGATTTCATTCTGCCAGTAATACGTAGTCAGTCGTGTCCATAGAAAGCATAGAAAGGGGACTGCGAGAAGACTACCTGTAGCCCTTCAATGGAATTGTCACATCCGGCTTTCATAGATACAATGTACGGCATCTTGGTCTCGGGGTGGAGACAGTTTTCTCGGAGAGCCCGTACTTGACTGGCGACCTGCTTTAGGGGTAAGATATTGTGTTCTTCATGAGGAGGGCGCCACGTACTTTTACTTTGTCTTCAGCAGAGACATCCACCTTGAACTGGAGGAGGACAACATGGGTGACCTGCATCTTGCTCTTCAAACTCAATATGGAACTGCCATACCCGCACAGTTAAGGTATGGATTGTACCCTTATATAATTCACACGTCCGTCAGCTAGACAAGGGGCTTGTCGGTCCGACGAGAATAGTTTCTAGACGTGGATTTCTGGTTCTGGAAGACTCCTCATTTCTGCTGTGTAAGCAAATTTGAATAATCCCGTAGCGGGGCATTTTCTGTTCTGAGAAATAATGTAGTTTTCTAGTGATGTGGAGGGCTGTAAGCTGTCTTGTCCGCCATGCCGGAGCAGAGTCTAGTCCACATCGGGCAATTCAGCCAGCGGCCACGGGCCCGCTGTGCCTGTGCCTTGGTCCCAACATTAACGAGCCCGGAGTGGATCGTGTCTACGCTGGAGTAGGAGCTGCTTACAAAAATGCAGATCAAGTGGCATTGAGATCGTACTTATATAATTGAGCCCCGTTGCGTGATCCTGAGCAATGCACCGTCTCACTCCCTAGCGTAGAGGAACGACACCTACCACCTGCAATACCTGCACAATGTCTCCTCAACTAGCATGGATTGGCCTCGGCAACCTGGGCCGTGTGCGTAGATTAATCGCTCTCATCGTTCTTTTCTACATACTAATCATCACCACAGGGAATGGCCAAGAACCTTGCCACAAAAGCCCCCATCGACGCCCCAGTCTCATCTACAACCGAACCACCTCCCGCGCCGAGACCTTCGCCGCACAACACCCTAACACAGCCCTTGCGTCTTCTATCCAGGAAGCAGTCACCAAGTCGGACATAATATTCAGTTGTGTCGGAGACGACGCCGCCATCACCCAGACCATTGACACCGCTGTGGGTGCCGGCGATCTCAAGAACAAGCTCTTTGTTGATCTCTCCACCGTGCACCCAGATACCACAAAATCCATCTCAGACAAGATTCAGAAGCACGGCGGCCGCTTCGTGGCCAGTCCTGTCTTCGGTGCGCCGGCTATGGCCGATGCTGGGCAGGTCATTTGTGTTCTTGCTGGTCCGAAGGAGGCAGTTGAGCAGGTGAAGCCTTATACAACCGGTGTCATTGCCAAGTCCTTTATGGACTTGAGTGACCAGCCAGTGGCCAAGGCGTCGCAGCTCAAAGTCCTCGGTAATACCTTTATCATCAGCATGGTCGAGACTATTGCGGAAGGGCTTGTTGTTGCAGAGAAGTCCGGGCTGGGAACAGATGCACTGCATCAGTTCTTTGAGGCCGTTTTCCCCGGTCCGTATGTTGCGTACTCGGCCAGAATGCGGAGTGGAGATTACCACACGAGATCGGAACCGCTCTTTGCGGTTAACCTGGCGAGGAAGGATGCAAGGCATGCAATGGATTTGGCGGAGAAGGCGGGTGCCACTCTGCGCGGGTTGAAGTTGGCGGATGACTATATGGCACAGGTTAAGGAACACCAGGGTGAACGGGGTGATGTGGCTGGCATTTATGGGGCAGTCCGAGAGGAAGGTGGCTTGGCGTTTGAGAATTAGGGTTTTTTGGGGCTGCTTGCTGAGCTTTGCGTTGCGTTGAATGTTAGTAGTACATAGATGTAAATGAGCCCCTGATCCAGCAGAATTCACAGATTATTTCATGGCTTTCAATGCTACTGAGTGTACACTGTGGTCAGCTGCTGGGGAATAAATGAATGCTGTGCACCGATACAGAGGGCTTAGAAGATGTCAGAGCCTTATCGATTCCGGCAGTGCAGTCTTCCGCTATGCAGATTCACATAATAGTCACTTGAGGTAATGGACGCATAGGGAGAAGTCACAAGAAAATAGCACGCGGATGATTGTAGGGTCGCATGGATCACCTGAATTTCAGATGTAGGGAGAGCAGGACAATACAATATTTAATAATCCAGCAGTGAAAGGAGGCATATATCAGCGATAGATATGCGAGACTGATTATGCTGACCGTCGTGAGGAACGGAACTTAGCCGCTTATCTTCTTCACCAATCCGGGTTGGTGACATGGATCCTAATAATATCAAGCAGTGATGTCACGAACCATCCCCACCATTGGCACCCCTAATGATCCCTTCTAACCCTTACGACAAGAGGCTTCTTATCCCAAAACCACCAAATCCCCTGCTTCTCCCACACCGGCACATCCACCCCAGCTAGATCATATCTCCACAAGAAGCGTGCCAATATAAGCCGCAGCTCCATCCAAGCTAAATTCTGGCCAGGACAATTATGCGACCCCAGCGAAAATGGATTGAAAGCTCCTTCTGCTTATTCAGATCGCCGCGAAACCGCTCATCCTCTCCCAGCCACCGTCTTGGGGCAAACTCACTCGGGCTAGTGAAGTTGTGCGGCGTGCGGTAACTAGCAAGCGGAGGGATCGAGACGATCATCCCTTCTGGCACAAATTGCCCAGCTACCCTGGCTCCACCCCGCGGGACCTGCCGTCGCATGGCGTCTGGAATGGTTGGGCAGAGGCGCATGCCTTCCATCAAGACTGCATCGAGGTATGGAGCAGATTTCAGCCGGGTGGCTGTAATGTCCTTTTCCGTGGGGAAGGTGTTGTGGAGCAGGTCTACCAATTCACGGAGCGTCCTCTGGTCCCCCTCCCGCAGAAGATAATTGATGACGCCCGTGATGACGGTGGTAATTGATTCACTCCCCGCCGCGACGATCAGCATCGAGTTCACTTCCATCTCCTCCTGCGTCATGGCGCCCGACGCTATCATTGTTCCCACAAAGTCCGGTCGCGTGGTAGTACTGGGAGTCGTACTGGCCACCCGCTGCGCCACCTTTTCATCCGTGACCTTCCACATCTCCATAACCGGCTTCAGGGCATCTGCTGGGGTAATGGCCATGAGTAGATGATAAAGCAGAGGGTAGAACTTCATTGAGCCAACGATAATGGCAGCTTTGAACTGGCTAACTGTCTGCACCCAGGGATGGTACCGCAGACCCTCAAGGCACCCGAACGAGCTACCCCAGGTGAGATCCCCTATCACGTCGAAGGCGAGGTAATTGATCCATTCGACGAGGTCCACGTCAGCGCTTTTGCTGGCACTGTCACCCCCACTGCTCGCAATCTGTGCGTCCAGTTTAACAAAAAGTGCATCGATGTATTTTTGAAGAATTGGTTCCTGGAGTGCAGCGAATTTCTCCGAAAAGCCTGGTGCCAGGTTCTTGCGAAGGCGAGTATGGTCAGCCTCCGAGCATGCAATTAGATTTGGTGCCGTTTTGCCGGGAGGTTGGTCTTTGTATTGGTGCGGGCGGACGAATTCACGATCTGAGGTGTAGATGTCCCGCCAGGCGCGGGGGTCCACGAAGGAGAGTTCGTCTGGTGCGACGCGGACAATGTCACCATACTGGGCGTGGAAGTCATGGACACGATGGGGGAGTTGGCCACGGATGTTGGCGAGGATAAAGGGAAAGCGGAATGCACGCCAGAGGGTAGGCCCGGGGTAGCGAGCGAGAGGATGGAGAAAGAGATTGTAGATGATAAGGGTGGTGAGGTACTAATTTCTAAGTTAGGTTTGCTGGCATGGTCTCCGGGGAGATGGAGAGGACTTACGAGGATGAGCAGAATGGCTGCAATGATGAGAAGAGCCATTGCGCTAGGGGTGACTGAGTAGAGGAGTGTTGGACTGGGAGATATTGAGAACACAAAAATTGACACATAAAACCGGCGAAGTGGGAAAGTACAGGGTGCGGCGGTATTAGCCACATGGTGGGCAGTCTTTTCCATGCCTGCCCCTTTGTACCCCAGGCAGCTCCGGTAACGATCACACCATGATTGGCTAGAGGCGGAGGTTCGTTCTAGACCAGCATGCGGGCTAAGCATATTAGCTAGGCTGATACTAAAGAAGATCCGGGGGTTGACTGGAACCAGCTGACTGCATTCCCTGGGCCCTGGATCAATCATGGCCGGCCAAGACCCAGATGCGGCCCCCACAATAAGCACTAGGCAAGGTTACGTAGTCCCTTAACTAGTCCGGAGTTCACACAGGGCATACCAGGTTCAGGACAAAGAGCAGCCCAGACAGGGTCATGCCAGATTCCGGGCGTGGTCGGATTCGAGAAGTGGGCGAAGTAGCCGTCAGCACTTCAGCAGCATCGTTGTGTAGTCCAGCTTCTATGTTTGAGCCTAGGAGCAGAAGATGACGGTCTGATGGCTCTCTTTCTGGCTCACTTCCCAAATCATCTCCCTTTCAAGCTCCTCTAGACGAGAGCGCAAGGACTGGATCATACTAGGATCACATTAGATTTTTCATTTTAACCAGCAGCGTCAGCAAAGGTCCAACGAGGGAAATCATTCACCTATCCCGCCAGGGCGTTGCGTAGATCTCAGAGGCATAGGCACCTCTGTTACATAATAATGTACTTCGTGGCAACCGCATAGGATAGTTAGTCTCCTGTAGCTCGCCTGCGCCTCCACTAGTTCGTACACGACTTGTCTCCGTCTAGACAGGAATTCTCAGTCGCATGGCCGTTAAGTCCGATGGTCAAGATGAAGTGCGAGGCGCACTAGATTGACTCCACTTTTAATACTTGTGTCGACCAATCATAAGTGGATATGGCTGTCCGATGTCCCATCCTGTTCGACTTTTCCAGATCAAGCTTTGCTCACCACTTGTACGCGTCTCACCATCTTACCTCCAATCCTGCACTTCTCCTCATGCCACCTGCATCTTCGGCGCCCACTGTTCATGCAGTGCAAACTGCCGTACCGCCTGATACCATTTGGTCGCGCGTAACGGAAGATGATTTCAGACAGCATCTGGTCACGTTGGAGAAGCAGACGAATGCGGTACCCATGGACGTTCTGACAGCGGAAGACGATGATGAGCAGCACGGCAGCTCCAATTCATTTTTGCCGCTGAAGACAGAGAAACAAGTCGCAGATGACTTTGCTTATATTGCTGCCGTCACCGAAGGAGCTCAGAGCGTAGCGGCCGTCTGCCTCGAACAACACATTAGTACCTCACTCGCTCCGAATTTTCCCACGTTGGTGATTAAAGTGGCAGGCATGGACGCCATCAATGAAAATGTCAAAGGAATGCTCCATGCGGTTGTTACACAGCTGCAGTATCGTACTCGAGCTGTGATTAAACGTAATGGGGCAGAACCCGGCAGCACTGAGATCATCTTCCGCTCGATCATCCAGCAGCATGAGCAGAAACTCCTAGGCCGTCTTCGTTCAAGGAAATGGACTAAACCTAGGCATCTAGCCAGAACACACAAGAAGCCTCTGTGGCAGGACTTTAATAATCTTTCACATCGAGCTCAGCATGTCTATGCTAGAAGATCTGAACGCAAGATTCGAGAAGCAATCATCACATCTATTCAAGAAGTCTGTAAAATGTATGAGCATTTCGAGGCTTCCATCGGTCAGACCACCCAGGCGCTCCAGAAGCTCGTGGAAGGAACATTCATCTGGTGCAAGTCGCCGCTCATAGGCGACTATGCATCCAAGCTCGAGATCGCAGGGGACACTCCTCAGGTCGCCGCAGCGATTAAAACCCTTCGACAACTCGAAAAGATAGGGGCGTATTGGAGAATCGCCGAGGACCTTGTCGCAGTGGCAGACCAACATCAGCATATATTCCGATGCATCGAGCTCGAGTACCTTACTCCATATGCGAGCATACCTACCAGTATAGCATACGAATCGTGGGCTCATACGTGCCATGTTCACGCTGAGATCCAGCTGGTCGTGGAGCTTGCGAAGAGGGCATCAAAAGAGGCTGTTGATGCATCGACGATCGAGATGCGACCAAGGACAATTGGCACGAGTAAGTACCTGTGCTACTTGTGTTACTTGTTTCTGCGATACCATGGCGCCTTCCAGATGTTGAGTACACATGGGCGTTTGTATGACCAATGGACCGTCCCTGATTTGGTCGATTATAACGCAGCCATGAGGAACAAGTTTGCTAGTGTGCTTCAAAGCATGGACGAGCATATCGTGAAGCAGATCAAGGAAACAAAATGCATTATATGGAGAGCGGAGCCTATGACAAGTCGTCAGAATTTGCTCTTGTGAGGCAGAACACAAAGCTGTGGACATTTTAGAGGCTAGCATTGACAAGCTTGATTTATCATAAGGATATTGCTCGATCTACCCAGCCTAGCAGACATGGCATTAAGAATTATTCCCAACATCACGACTGCCGGCCCTCCAAGATCACATACACGCCGAAATGTTTTTTATTGTAATATTTATGCCCGGTCCTGTGTCTCTGCTCTCAATCTCACCCTTCCCTAGAGAGCCGTCCTCAAACTCCGCTTCCCGCGCCATGATCTGATCATGTCGTTGTACAGAGTCGATGAACTTTTGCCTCGCCTCTTTTCTCAGCCTTGACGTAATACTCACGACAGACTTGAGATAGGCATTAAGGACTTGGGCCATAAGGACGTGTGGATAAAAATCCTGGTCTTGCAGACAGACGGCGTTAATAACCATTTCGGGAAGCAGGAACGCCTAATGTTGTCGGGCCTGGCTGAACTCTGAAGCTGGGATCAAAATCTTTTAAAAGTTCTACTGAATCCTGGTACTCAATAGATCTTGCTTTATTCAAACTCGATGTACGATGCTGGGTTCTAACTGGTTGGAAATCAAGACCATTGGTTTGGACCTGGAGACTGCCCGCTACAAATACTAATTCCGGCACTACGCCTTGGCCAAAGGGAGAACCAGGTAACTAGCAAATCCCCCACCGGTATGGACAGCGTGCCGGCCGTGGTTCAGGTTCTTGAGGTTCCGGTGGAGAGGCGGATACTCGGGCAGGATTGGGTCGTGCCCTTTTACCTCAAGCCTCAGCGTCTCTCCCGCATCAAACGCAATGCCCCCGGCACACAGTGGGATCCGCAGCTCAACCACGTCTCCGGGCTTGACTTTCTCTTCCTTGTCGTGCGGGAAGAATAGCTCCGTTGGCTCGCGGTTGCCCCGGCGGTTCTCGGCGATATCTGGCTCCTCTGCAGTTGCTCGTTTTGACGCTCGCAGCCGCCCGTTGGGCCCCACGTATTTGTAGATGTTGACGTCTGGAATGTCCTTTTCCGTCACGCCGGCTGCTTGGTGCTCGAGGGGGATGTTAAAATTCAGCAGTGCGTTGCCGTCCTTGTCTAATTTGCGGAGAATCACATAGACGTCCATGTCGTCGAGGTCCTGGCAGGACATGTAGAGGATTACTTGGGACGACCCGATCAGCTCAGTGGGTTCGTCAAAGGTCCAGCTAAAATGGGCACCGTCGTCATCCCACAAGTCGGACTGGTACGTGACTTTGGCCTCCTGCGCGGGCTGACTGACGAGTAGCCTGCCGTTTCCTGCCTCTAGGTAGAATTTGCGGTATTGAACGCGAGACGGGGGGTAGACGTCTTCCGCGCGGAAACTGATCGGAGCCCGATTGTACCGCAGCAGCGAAAGACGGACACGAGGTGTATTTTCCCATCCGTTCGCTTTGCCGAGCAAAAAGTGGTCGAGGAACCGTTGAAGGTCGTCATTGGCAAATGGCTGGTAGATATCAAACCATTCCTGCGTCGGGTGAATACGCAGCCTTGGACGCTGTTAGCAGCAGCAATAGGCTGTCGAAAACAGTCGTGGACAAACCATTTCTCGTTGGACCCGGCATACTTCCACGCTCTGATCGATCCCTCTGTGTGTAGACCCGTCGAGTAGCTGGCCAGGATATACATGGGCACCTCAATATCGTGTAGGCGAGGCCGCTTATCCTCCCAGTAGGCGTTCATTAGAGGGTATTTCTGGATCATCATCGCAACATCTTCGCGAGAGGTTTTCCCTACTCGATTTAGCCAGTACACACCGCAACAAAGAATTAGACACACCATTGAACTCCTGCATCAACAAGTCCCAGAAGGCATAATTTGGAATGCCGCCCCGGCAGATGCTTTCACGATAAAAGTCCCCAATGCCCTCCCAGGGGGCAATCGCCTTGAGGTGTGGCGGCTTCTCGGCAGCGATATACCTATTTCTCGCTCATTAGAAATAAAGTCGCCGACCCCAGGGTATGGATGAACTTGCCACTGGGCCATGGCAAGCCATGAATTGCCCACAAGAGCGACATTTCCATCGCACCAGCTCTGCTCTGCCATCCATTCAATCGTATCGTGGCCATCACGACCCTCCTTGACGCTGGTCAGAGTCATATTCGCTCGCGTGCTGGATTAGCCTACCTGTGTGCCAAGGATGAAGATGTCGCCTTCAGAGTCAAAGACCCCTCGCGCATCGACATTAACCACCACGTACCCGCGAGGGCACCACTCGGCCGGGTCAGGCGCTTCGAACTTTTCCAACCCACTCAGGTGCTCTTGGCGTACCCCGAGGTAGGTGAAGCTGGTGGTTTGGTGGTGTCCTAATCAACCGTCAGCGGGACGAATTCTCCCTTTTCGTGACCCCGCTGGACTCACCACTTCCCGTCTTTCCATACGGGCTCCAGGGAAGGAGAGCCGGGAGTGGGACTCCATCCTTGTCTGCGGGTCGGAAGACGTCGCCGCGGAGGACTATCCCGTCGCGCATGGTGATGGCCACGTCTTTCTCCCAGATGATCGCCTCTCTCAGAGACCGACGGCCAGGCTCACGTTGCCACCCCTTAGGGAGTGTAATCTTGGAGGGGCTGAACTCGGTCCAATAGTGGTGATATCCCTGGTTCGTGGGGGTGAAAATCACCTCAATTCCACCGATTGTGCGAGACATGACTGTGGCCTGCAAAGTGAACGCTTGTGCTCAGTTGTGACCGTCCTGGAGCATTCCTTAGGTCCTTATAACTACCCGGATCAGCGATTAACCCGTAGAAAGTTGCCGGAGGCATGCGATGCTCCACAATCTGGTAGATGCACTGTGCCTCCGGTCCGGTGGGGGTCCTCGCCTGCCTCCAACTTAACTCCGACAGACACGGCTTCCATAATGGACAGGGGCGTAGGTGCACAGATTTGGGAGCTCGAAGAAAGACCGTTGACATTGAGCGTTAATGAAACCGGTGTTCTGTGTCCAGAGGACCTGAAACAGAATGTTACACGATTTCTCTCATACAATGCATCTAGCATACGATATAGATGTATTTACAGGCCTAAATCTGGAAGGGCACCTCGGCCTTCAGCTGCTGTCCTTCAACCACCGGGGGCTCCGCGGCAATCAGAATACAAAGGAGCCTGGCCCAACCGTCTGTCTCGTTGTCCCATCCATGCATTGTCGCCTGCTGCACCACCAACTCGCCTTCCTTGGCCACGGTCCGCGAGCCGTCGTCCAACGTAAGCACGATTTCGCCCTTGGTGACATAAATATAGTCCAGAGTCATGGACCGGTGAACCATGCCTTTCGAGTGGGGAGGGAAATCGACCATCCTGCAAATCGTCCCATTATTCGACAGCCCCGTTTCAACGAGGCCCATGTCGCTTGTACCATTTGCGTTGGGTGGTAGCTCGTCACTGGCCCAGAGGCGGGTGATGTATGGCCCGTGGCCGGCCTGGCGTGCACTGACCAGGCCGTCTCGCTGAATCACCGCTTGGGTCTCGGTGTTGTGGCCGGTCACGATTCGGCGAACCCTGGGGAGGGGCTGGTTGGTTTGTTGAGTCATGGTGGATAGCAACAGCACGGGAATAATGACCGTATCTAACAAAAGATAGGAGGGGCCTTCGAGGTCTGCGGTGTGGTTGACCCTAAGTCGAGACGCGTAAAGTGGCATCTGGACCATTCCTCATCTGCCGGGCATACGGCAGAGCTAAATATACTAATCAAATCTGCATCATTCATCTCGTGCGGATGCAATTGAGACGGCCATGGACGGCGAGATACGGAGTCTGCTATTCTCATCCGGTGGGGGATCGCGGTTTCCGCCTGGGAAACTTCCGACGGAAATTAGCAGTTGACTCGGGTTCGGTTCTACAATCCGCGAGTCCAAAAGCAGCCCACGCCCACCACACTTGCCATTGGCCCTGTGTCTAGAATCCACAGTAGCCCCCTTCCTCCAGCCAGATGGATGAAATCAGGCTTGCCGAAATGCGCGCGTTGGGTGAGCAGAACGAGGAAACAAGAGGACAGTGGTATACTATCGCGGTAAGCCTGTACTGGTACGCAAGGAGCATGACCGGGATGGTTACTGATGCCAGGACAGGCAGTCGCCGTGGCCGCGGCGGGGGAGGTGGCGATGTAGTAAAGATCTACCAGATGGCAACGGCTGGATTGGGTGTGGAAGAGGAGAAACAGGTCCAGCGGCGTCTCAAGGAGGCGATCCTCAAGACCAGCATTCTATATGGAATACCAAAGTCGCTGCAGGCGCTTCTCCCTTTGTTTGCGACCCTCGACAACGATCGGATTGATCATTACGGGCCTCGGTAATTGAAGACCCCAGCCTCTTGAGGAGCAAAATACTCACTGGTGCGAATGAACAGGACCGAAAAAAAGAACAACAAGGAGCCTCTGTCTGTCCGGCAGGAACGGGCTCGAGCATACTTTGACACCCTCTGGACTCCGGCTGCGGCGCAGGCGAATCGAGAGAAAAACTTCAAGTACCAGCCTGACCTCTGTACGAGTCCCCTCCTTCATCCAGCGGAACGTGGCTGACAGAGTATCCAGATCTGCTGAACCTCGAGATGATATACGAGCTGTGGATCAGCGAGACCGACATTCTAGATCCGGTGGAAACGCAGTGCTGCAATGCAGTTGCCTTGATCTGCTCTGGCTCCCCAGTGCAAGCCATGTGGCATACAAGAGGGATCGTGCGCCATGGAGGGACACTGCCGGTGGCCAAGTTTGCGCTGGGGATTGGACTGGGTGTAGCCGAAATGTACGGTCTTGACACTGAAAAGGTGGTGAAAGTTGATGACATTCCCTTTGATGACACAACACCACATTGATACTCGTTGACCTGGTTATGTTTTAACGTGATTCAATTACAACATGCTTTACGTTCGTATTTAGTCACAATGGATGAACCATGGGGAGAAACATTCAAGCCCTGACAGCTCCCCACCTGCCAAATGTAAACTGGCTGTTGCACATATTGGTCAACTCCCAATCCTCCGCCCCCAGTTCCACCGGTGTCCCTACGTCCTCGGGTGCTCCCACCAAGCCGACCACAAACATGGCACTCATAATATGATCGTCCGTGGCATGGGCATCCCGATACTTGGGGATCTTCATGAGCATCGTCACTGCCTTGCGAAGCTGGGGGCCCGATGACTTCATCAGCGCATCTTCAAATTCCTGGCGGAAGTCGAGGGCCCAGTTCCCTGGAGGCGACTCCATGGCAAAGTTATCCGCATACCGCAGCAGGGGATCCCAGACATTTCGGTACAGATTGTGGACCGTCCCACCGGATCCAATAAAAAGGACTTTTTCGCGGCGCAAATCACGTAGAGCGGCGCCAACACGCATGTGGTAGTGTGGATCAAATCTTGCGTTCATGCTGATGATGGTCGTGGGCGGACAACCGGTGGGAAAGGTGCGGATCAGGATCAGGTACACATCGTGGATCCAGGTGAAGGTCGGGTGTGCTTTGGCATTGAAGCCTGCCTGGCGCAGGGTCGAAATCACTCGCTCGCCCATCGGCAGATCAGGTACCAGCTCATAGTCAACGTACTTGCGTGGGTGAACGCCGCCAATGGGGGCTTTGGTGGGATGAGGGTTGGTCGCAATATGTATTTCGTCGCCGACTGCGGCCCAGTGCGCGCCCTATCCAGATAGGTTAATAAGTAGCTCCAGTTCGTCTCGGCTGGAGCTGCAGACATACCATGATAACGACGTGCTCGATGCCATGAGCGAGGGCAGCATCTCCGCATCGCTTCCAGTAGTCAGCGGAATCCGAGGCCTCGCCCAGCATGGCGGTCGAGCCATGGGAGAAGAAGTGGACTGGGGCCAGGTCAGACATGCTCAGCAGCTTGCAATGCAATGCACCTAAGCTGGACACAACCACAGCGCCCTTTAAGTCGTTGGCAACGCACCTCCGCCACTTTTCCGGCGATCCGGTGGGGGCAACCACGCGCAGTGTGGGGGAGGCCAACCACCCCAGAAATACCCCAGACATGGCCGGGACCTCCTCCCCCATCTTTCTATCCATGCATCCTTCACCCACCCCATGTCGCGCTCGCCGCCTCCGGAGACTCGTGCTGGGCCGACGCAGGGCCACAACTGGTGCAACGAGTGCCAGCGCTCGTTTGATCGCGCCGACCACTTTGCCCGCCACGTCCGGTCACGTGAGTCCTCCCCGCCAGCACCTGGCCGACCGGACCCTAATTCTGCAACTGACACGCCTGCAGACCAAGACCTGCGCCAGTTCCAGTGTCCTTGGTGCCCGAAAAGCTTCAATCGCGGCGATCTCCTGCACCGGCACAAACAGATTCACTCGCGCCGCAGAGACGGGGTGCAGTACGCCGCACGCGCCACGCGGGCCTGCCGAAACTGCGTCCAGAGTAAAGCAAAATGTACCGATCAGAAGCCGTGTAAGCGCTGCGTGAGCAAGGGTCTCAGCTGCAAGCCAGCCGTAAGTAGCCGGAAGCGATCGCACTCCAATCCCCCACGGGCTACCCTTGCCACCCCTGAAGCTGCCCCCGACCTGCCACCTCAGGACTTTGCGCAGGTGGACGGTACGCCGTCGGGCATCGAGCCTGCCAATGCGCCCACCCCATTCCGGACCCTGCCTTCCATTCTCTGCGCGGATACTCGATCCTCGATTCGTTCTTTCAGCCGTCTGACAGCTTCGAATGGGACTCGACCTGCTTTGACCTGGACCTCGAGACCCTCCAAGTGCTCACGCTGCCTCCGTCGCATGATCTGGCTCCGGGCGATGTCCAGCCCCTGAATCAGCCCAGTCCGGCCTCCTCGCGGTTTGAATTCTTCAAGCGATCTCCATGGCTCTGGACCCCGGTCCACGTGGACCACGCCTACGCCGGCCAGCAGAACCTTGGGGTCAACGAGAGTGCCATCGACTCTTCCTTTGGCCTGCAAGAGCGCCTCTACTTCGAGAACAGCCTAACCAACCAGCCAGTTGACTCTACCTGCCGCGATCGGATCTTGTACATGATTTTCCAAACCGCCAAATTGCCCTCCATCTCGTTCCAGTCGTTTCCCTCGGCCCACTTCCTTGATCGCATGGTCCAGGTGTATTTTGGCTGGAACAACCTGCAATCCACGTCCTGGATCCATTCGTCTTCGTTTGTTCCGGCAGACCGCACCACCGAGCTCCTGGGGCTCATCATCGCCGCCGGCTCAACCTCGATATCGATTCCCACAGTATGGAAGATGGGATACGCCCTCCAGGAGCGGTCCCGTTTGTCCCTCTCTGCGTCTGTACGTTCCCTTATTTCGCGTGCACACGCCGCATCTGCTAAGAAGCTGGACTGGAGTAGATTGAAAGCGATAATAGCCGAGTGCGTGAGTTGCAGACAATGCAGGCATATCTACTTTGGGTCTCAATGGGCCTGTGGAGTGGCTTCAAACGGAACATGGAGATCTCCGAGAGTTTTCTTGGAGCGCCAATTACTGTCAGTAAATACGACAGCTGCCGCAGGATCGTATTGACTCTGGGAACAGATGTTGCGTCGATGTGGGAGCTTTGCACGCCACCCCTATGCACAGACACCACAACCATACGTGACTGACGACAATGAAGTACTGCACGCCAAATGGATAGCGTGGGTCCACCAGGAATCACTAAAACGGTGGGACAAATCCGCCTTGATGGCTTTGGCAGGATTCTACTGACCGCGTTACGGCTCACAGTACGGCGGTCTTTGCACTCATCACGGATCTTCGCGGCTCAATGGCCTACCTGAGGCCCCCGAACTGCTCATTGACAGAGTTCTCATGTCCGCTGCCTGCCACGCGCGATATCTGGTTGGCTCCGAGTGCAGTGGCTTGGAGGGATGCGGTCCTCAACAAACCGCCAATCGGGGACCAGGAGGTACCATCCTGGGCCGCCATCATGGAAGACGGCTCACTCCTGGCCGGCCTCGAGACGCACTACGATACGGGGTTGATTGCCCTCGCGATCGTCCATGGATTCTGGTCGCAGGTCTGGGGATACCACGAATCCCTGCGGTTCTTCAGACATAAAAGCAACCACGCCAGCCAGGCCCGGACTATGCTCTGGCTGTCTTGTCAGCAGCAAGACCTCGCGCAGTGCCTGGTCGCCTCACAACGCGAGCTGGTCAAGCACGGTCTGGATCCGGCTCAGCTTCGAATCATCTCTGAATTCTGTCTCATGGCGCTGAATGTGTCTCCCCGGGAGCTACAGCTCTTTGCCGGACGGCTGGGAGAGGAGGAGGCAGAAACTACGCATCGGATTCTGCAACAGTGGATGAGCGGCCCGGAGTTTCGTGCAGCGGTATGGCATGCAGGACAGATCTTCCGGTTGGCGAGGACTCTGCCGCTGACGCAACTGCGAGAATTCTGCGCCATCTGTCTGTATCAAGCCAGCCTAACCCTATGGGCATATGGGCTGCTTTCCAAGTCATCTCAGACGGTGGGGACCTTTCCGCCTACGGCTGCAGAACAGGTAGATGAGCTACAGGTCCGCTTGGATGGGCCCGAGTGCGCCCTGAGCACAGCCTTTGTCTCTCTGGGTCGAGGGGTTGCAGGTATCTCTTTAGGTCTAAACAACGCGTTTTGCCCCCTCAGAGATGTAGAGAACGTTATGAGGGGGCCTGTGATATTTACCGCGACAACTTTCGCTTGGACACGGCCTCCCTTCCGCCATTGCTCGAAAGCTTGATTACTTTGATGACAGATCTAGGCAGCATTTCGTCAGATACGCTAACCACTGCCCTGTTCTTGAACGGATGAATGGTAAATATGGGGCTCTGTTTTCTCCCCAGATCATTGAGGGCGTTTATATGGGTATATAATCCGAGCAATATGTTTTGTTCCCCTGCTTGTTCGACATTTCCAAGACGAGCTTGGTATGAGCCGTCGTCAGCTAGCTCCCTTTCATGTGTCGGGCTGGTGTACCCACAGGCAGCACTTGGTGGAACAAGCAGGGACCTGTTGCACTGACAGGTATATTTATATTGCCGGTAATCTTGTAGCGTCCAGCGACTTTTGGGGATGCAGCTGCTCACGCCAGCAACAGCAAAACCCCATCACCTGGCACCTTTTGAATGTTGCGCAAAATGCTCTCGTCGTCAGACAGAGTATGGTCGTTTCTCAGAAGAGCAAATTCCACAGACGTTTGTATGAGTATGCTGCACAAGTAAGAAGTATTTTAGAGGACCCAAAATACTACTTCCTACGCTGTTAATACACCTAAGCCTTTTAGGTGAAGCTGATATAAGACGGATAGAACAGATATATATCTGCGTGGCTAATGTCACGGGCTGCACCACACCAGATTAGAACATGTGCCAGAGTTGAGTGAATATACGCAGATCTCACTATATTTAAGTCTTACAATCCAGGTTTTGACTCCTAGCCTTATATACTTAGCATTCACGCAGTACGCAATGCCCAGGCAGTCAACGTATTGGATCCATCGTTATTGTCATACTGCGCTACGCCAAGATATTACGGGGAAGTCCTTCCGCAGCAGGAAGATCGTTACCGGTATAGGAAATCCTGGGGTGCTTACAAAATACAGCAAATGGCTCCTTGCTTTTGGCTTCTATTCAAGTTGTACCACATATATTACACACTGCTACAATATACCAATTATTTCATTGTAGACACTAGTATATCTCAATGACAACAAATGGTTGGTTTCATACTCGAGTAACGCGATATATAAGTTCACACGAAAATAACAAGATAGCGTGGCTGCGTGCGTGACAAATAACAGTAAGTTATTCGGCGCCAGTTAATAAGCCTTCACGCCTGCGAGCTTTAACAACTGGTCGGTCAAATCGGGCTTCTCCAGCGGTTCGTCGCGCTCTAGGGGGTCGACCTCTCCATTGACCTTGGCCTTGCCATGCCCCCAGATGTTGCAGTGAGGCCAGTGAGTGGTTGTCTCCCAGCGGTGGAACAACTCTGCCTTTCTCTTCAGATCCTTCTCCTTGGCAAGAGACGCGGGAGTGTAGCAGGCGTAGATTATGGTGCGGATAGTGTCGCTCTTGGGGAACTCTGCATAATGCATGGAGCGCGAGTCCCAAAGGATCAGGTCCCCAGGCTCCGCACACACCTTGATAAGCTTGCAGCCCTGCTCCTCGTGCCATTTGACGTGGTGCTCTTTGAAGGGGTAAAAGTCGTAATGCTTGGCGCCGATTCCTTGGGTTCGGTCTGGAGGGTTTAGGGCGAAGAATTTATCAAAGAGGCGCGAGGAACCCTCCATGAGGAGCAGGCCTCCATCTTCAGGACCTGCTTCAGAGAGGTTGATGATACCTTGAACGCAGGCTAGGCCCTTGCGCTCGGGTGCCTGGTCGACATGCGGCCAAGGAGACCAGTCAACATCCTTGCGGCCTGGAAGCGTAATGTTGACGGTATCGAAGGAGACAAGAAGCTCGTCCGTGTCCCAGATTTTGGCAAATGCATCGATAACGCCGGGCTCACTTTTTCCAGGTTAGCCAGTGCAGTGTACTAACGGGGAAAGAATGTGAGCTCACAGTCGTGCATCCCAGACGTACTTCTCATGTCCGGCACAGTAGTTGAGATACATACCGGCCTTGAAGCTCTGGGGAAGGTTCTCAGACGTCCAGGTGGATCGATCGTTGACATCAAACTTCGTAGGGAAGGAGGAGAGCCAGTCGAGGGCTTTCTGGCGGTACTGGAGGGCTTTGGCGCGGGGAATCACATTCTTCAAGACGACGTAGCCCTTGCTGTAAAACTCATCGCGCCAGTCACCGTACGTGGTACTGGCATTGGCGTCGAGAGAGGGGGCCATTGTATCGGCAGGTAATGAGGTTGAGTTGAAAGTGATTGATGTTCCAAGGGAAGAATTGTTCTGGTTCAAGGGCTGAGCACAATCGCTTCTGCATTTTATGCCTTTGTAACGGCCCATGATCTCATATCCAACGGACTCGGGCTCGGTGTAGCTCGGCCGACGTAGAGTCATGCACGACAGAACTTTTCCCCCTCAAGAGGCAGAGGCCTCGAGGGGCCCCGCAAGCAAGTGACAGTCGACACAATGGATGGACAGTTGAAGTATCCACCTCCACATTTCCGCATCTCCACCGCCACCGGATGCAACGGAGAACTCCCGAGGAGGGCGAACTCGCAAGGAGATGAAATACGTCGAGACGCCTGGACGATGGCTGAATACTATCCTCATCCCTTGGAAAAGCACCTGGACTCTTGCCCTTGTTCGTAATCCGACACAATGCCTCCTCCGGTTCAAGTTGCGACCCTGGACATCACCCCTCCGACCGTCAGTCACAATGGGTATCAAGGATTCAACCCACGAAAAGAGGTCCTACCGAAGGGCTGGAATGCCTTCAACTCGCGCCCCCTGGACGAAGATTTAATCGCCGAACATGATGTTGGCATTCGAGTCCGAGACGGCTGCATCCTCTACTGTGACGTCTATCGACCCGTCACGGATAAGCCAGTCCCCGCGATTGTCTGCTGGAGCCCTTTCGGCAAAAAGCACAATGGAATCAACATGATGAAAAAGGTGCGCTGGGGCGTTGGTGTGCCCGATGGGTGCCTCAGCGGTCTTGAACGGTTTGAAGGCCCAGATCCGGCCGAGTACTGTCCGCGAGGATTCGCAATTGTCAATGTCGATGCTCGTGGCGCTGGAGACTCGGATGGGTCGATTGTGATTATGGGCAAACAAGAAGGAGAGGACGGCCACGACGTGATCGAGGGGCTCGCCAAGTTGCCCTGGTGCAATGGAAATCTCGGCCTAGCAGGGAATTCGCACCTGGGCATCGTGCAGTGGTTTATTGCAGCTACGCAACCCCCATCCCTAAAGGCCATCGCGCCCTGGGAGGCATGCGGAGATTTGTACCGTGAACAATTTGTGCGAGGCGGTGCCTGGGACAATGGCCTGTTTGACCTGATTACTCGTGAGTCCATTCGTGGCCGCCATGGGCTCGAGGACTTCAAGGCGATGTATCGCCGGTGCCAGACAATGAACCCATATTGGGAAGACAAACGGGCAGACATCGCCTCCATCAAGATCCCAACCTACATTGTCGCCTCCTATTCTAGCTTCGTCCACACAATGGGATCGATTCGGGGATGGCTCCAGGTCAACACGGATGAGAAGTGGCTCCGCTGGGACCCTTACCAGGATTGGTATGACCTCTGGGTTGACAAGGAGAGCAAGGAGGAGCTTGCGAGCTTTTTCTCTCGCTATCTGAAGGCAGAAAATAACGGTTGGGAGAAGACCCCCCGGCTCCGGATGGCCTCATTGAAATTTGGTGACAAGGACCCCATTTATCCCATTGCAGCGAGCGACTTTCCGTTGCCAGAGACGGATTACCGACAACTCTTTTTCACCACGGACGGCAAACTGGCCGACAGCCCGCCTTCGTATGACCGAGTCCTCGAATACAACTCCGAAAGCAGCACTGACCCATCCGACTTCGTTGGCTTCACGCATACCTTCCAACAGCCTACACGCTTGATGGGTCTCCCCAAGGCAGTCCTGTACATGTCGTGCCCTGACCTGGATGACATGATCATCTACGTTCTCATCCGCAAGCTTGATACGAACGGGAATCCAATGATCAACATCAACATCCCCTGGAGTGCGGCCCCATACAAAACGGCAGCTGAGATTCCCAAGGAAGAGTACTCGAACCTCACCATCTACTATGGCCCAACAGGAATTCTCCGAGCTTCCCACCGAGCCATTGATCCCTCTCGGTCCATCCACCCTCAATACCCCTTTCATCCACACGACAAGGTCGAAAAGATCACTCCAGGAACCGTGGTCAAGCTTGAGATCGGCTTGTGGGCGATGGGCACGGACTTTGAGGCTGGCGAGTCGCTGCGCGTCCAAGTTTCTGGTGAGTATCCCCTGATCAAGGAGTATAAGGGGGCCAAGGTAGATCTGGAGGTTCGAAACAAGGGGAGACATCGGGTTCACGTCGGGGGAGAAACTCCCAGTCACGTTATTTTACCCTTTGTATAGAAGTACGTGTATCTAGTGAATTCAGAGATAGATTCACCTATAAGTTTGATTGGGCCGGAAGTAAATCATAGTGCCAAAAATATGATACTCTGTACTCGATGGTATGCTACCTGCTTCTCGCTTGCTGTCTTGCCGCAACTCACCTCATACCTTCAGTGAATTCTCTTTAATATATTCTCCGTCGCCGCAGCTTCTGCCAACCTCCGATCTATTTTGGCTACTGAACCACTATGCTTGACCGAAACGGAACGGGATTGTTGGTGTAGTAGTCCGACTCCTTGTACAGTAATGATTTAGACTTGGCAAAAATTGACTTGTCTGTGAGGGAGGACATGACTCTACTCGCAGCAAACGACCAACTGGGACAAGGTTGTAGAAATTCGTACGCACTACCATTTTCAGGGGAACGAGTTCGTGAAGTGCGACCCTGCTTTCGATGGCCGGGATAACTGTCATTATAGCAAAGATGCTTGTCGTACATGGCCAGTTTTAGCAAGACACGTTGCGGTATAGGTTATTCGGTTACTGCTACTGTACACTGGTTTCGGCAGCACCAACGACCTCAATCACCTCCACCACCTCTAACTTCTGAATTCTCCCAATAACATGTGCGAGCGCAGGGTACTTGGAAGACATTTCTGCCTCGGTAAATTGGGAAAAGAAGACCTGCGTATCGTTCTTGGCCGTCATCACAACACTAATGCCGATGAAGATGTCTTCGCCGCGTCCGACAGTGAGTAGCCGGTTGTCACCCAGTGTATATTCACGGATATCGGCATAGCACAGCGGGAGTCCTTGCTCGGTGCCGAACATGACGCTGTCGATATCGTTGTCGAAGATGACCGGGGTAAAAGTTTCAATCTCTTGATTACCCGGATCAATCATAGCGTCGGGAATGGACAGGACTAGCCTAGCATGCTGTTCGCCGTGGCGGGTGAAAGCCAACGAAACGGTGGCCCAGCCTCCCATGGCTCGGATCGAACAGTCGTAGGTCGGGAGGAATGTCTCCAGGTAGTTTCGACGGGTGCGAAAGGAGACCACGAGTGAGGACTGGCCGCTCATAGTCGAAGGAGGCTTAGCCAGGCTCGAGGGTCCAAACACCCTGGTAAGAGGACCTTGATGAGCAGCAGCAGACTCTGTGTGATATGCAGGGTCAGACATCTGTGTGCAATTGGAGAGGGCATACAGACAAGTGACGCACCTCGAGTCTTGAGCAAGACGTTCTCCGCAAAGTCGTAAGCGTCATGCCCGAAATTGATACGGGAGAATTCAAGCGCTGGCAAGGGTTAGTCCAGCTGCATGTCACGCGTCTATGAGGACAGGCAACACCCACGATCCGTCGACGTCCCACCGACTTTGTCGTCGGGGCTTGTTTTGAATGCAGCAAGGCGCGAGTATTCCTGGACCATGGTGGCACGATCATACCGGCACTTCATATAAAGCTGCAGACGAGCAGCAACTTCCGCAGGCTTTGTGCCCAGGGGGAAGAGGGCCCCCAGTGCCGCTCCCTGTGACATAATTAGGACAATGGAGACAATGACAATAAACTAGCACGAGACGTACATCCTCGATGGCCTGCGCACCTCCTTGTCCTTGGTCTGCAGGTTATATTAGCTACCGGGATAGGAGCACAGATAGCAGTGAGGCTTACGCGGTAGAAAAGGGTGAGCAGCATCGCCGATGAGGCAACTCTTTCCTGAAATCCAGGTTCCCAGGGCCTTGTCGTCGAGAAGCCTCCACAGCTTTATATCCTCTGGATTTACCATGCGCAGTAGGGCCTTCATCGCGGGGCAGAATTCGTCATAGACCTTGAGAACCTGCTCCAACGAGGCTGCATTATTCCACCCTACAGCAAATCAGCTAGGTTATGAACGGGACTATTTGAGGCAACATACCCTCTGTGCTTCCTTCGCTTTCTCCGTCGGGATGAAGACAGACGAAGTTGAGCTCCGTATTGTTTCTATGCAAGTCAGCTTGACCTGCAATACGCCGAGGCCGAATCACCATACCGGCAAGGATAGATCACTAGTCTGCGATAGATCCCATCCCAGAGCTGCATCTCACCCGGCCGCGCAAGGAGCTGTCGTGTTTCTGGGTTCTCCTCGACTTTGGATACGGGAATCAGGAACCGAAACGCACTACCTCCGGATGGTGTTGGAGCAATATCTTCTTGTGCGACAAATTGACGGAGAGCCGACTAGATACTGCGTGTCAGGATTGAATGAGACGGGAGTATTATTATTCTGGCCAGGGTGGGCCTTACGTGGACACCATCAGCACCGATGATGAGATCCCCGGTAATATTTTTCCCGTTGTCGAGTGTCAATGACGGCGCGAGACAGTCACAGCTAACTACTCTGCTGCGTAGGTAGATGACAGCAGGTCTCCCAGGCCCATCTGGACTGACGGCCGCGTGCTTCAAGGCTTCGTGGAGATCAATGCGATGACTTAACTTCCAGGACTGCAAGATGTTAAAGGCCAATTGACCTCCAATGAGGCTCGGACAGGGTACTCACAAAAGGGTAAACGCTTCGCAGATTTCGCACGTCCTTGGAGCTTACAACGTTGCCTCCAGAGTCGTAGACGGTGACCTACGTGTGGATCAGCTTTAAATTAAGTCTCGCAGTCGTCCTCTTTGGAGAACGCACAAACTGGGCGTCATTGCAGTTGAATTCTTCCGGGTTAATCCCAAAGCGGCGTAGCAGACCATGGACATTTGGAGGAAGATGGATAGCAGCGCCCAATTCTGTCGCGAAGCGGGAGGACTCGAAAATCTATCATTGTCAGTTACACAGACTCCCTGGACAGAGCTAAGGTCGGTGCAAACCTCGACATGATGCCCGGCATGACGTAGAGAGATGGCGGCAAAGAGGCCACCGATCCCAGCTCCCGCAATCAGCACGCGGAGGGGCCTTGCCTCTGCAGATTCGGCCATAGCTGCTTGACGAATGAGATAGGGTGTCTTGGTAATAGGGCTGGGGCTTGGTGTTACTCCCATGTAGACGTCTTTTGGAGTGGTTAGATATAGCCAACAGACGTGGTCCGAGGTCAAGCGCAAGGTGTGGGGAGACGTGTTGCTCCGGATGGAGTGGGGGGGATTTCCACGCCAGATGAGGAGCGGCCGGAAGAGAGGGGGAGCATCACTGCCGGATCTTTATTGAGTCCTAGAATTGGAATGAAATCTACATACACATGGGGGTGCAATTTGCTACATTACTATTAAACAAGATAGTTTCGTGTGCCTCATAACCAATCATCCCAGTCGCCAGTTTCAGCAATGATGTCCCCATGCGTTCCCATAAAGGGATCGCTGGTCCAGGAGAAGAGTCCCAGATCGAAGTCGCCATCTACAAGTTGCACGGTGGAACTGCCCGCTTGAGAGCTTGGGTAAAGGTCCAACCCGGGCACCTGTTCTGGGGCGTACGTCGACGCATTGCAGGATTCAGCCTGTTCCAAGATCGTAACAAGAGTTTCTTTATCGATGCGGTCAGAAGGAGCGCAGCGGGACTCCTGGATTAGAAGCGACTCTAGCAAATCAGCACCAGGGGACAACAGACCGCGGGTATTCAAGCCCAGTGAGCGAACTGAAGCTGCGGCGAACTGGATTACTTGGCGGCGGGTCGCGATCTGGTCCTCTGAAAAGGTACTCTTGAGCGCTAAAAGGTGGACCGCGAGAAAGACGCCTGCTGCGAGTGTGGCTGATGAAGTGATCCTACACACGTGTTATCCTTAATCCCATGTTGACCAAACTGTGGCGGGACCTACCAGCTTCTTTGAACTGTAAATGACTTCGGGCTCTCCGATACTCGTAAGATTTCTAGCGCAGAACGGACGCCCTTGGCGATTGTCGGTCCTGGCGGTCCAGCATCTTTCAGGCATCTCACAAGGTTTGCTCTAGCTACAGTGACCCGTAGGAAATGGATTGCATATAGGGCCAAGAAATGCTGGTTCTGTAGCCAAGAGGGGGCGTCGGCGGCCAGATGTGTCGGTGCCTGTTGAGTGACCTGATGGAGAATCTCCTCAGCCTGCTCGACAGCACGGAGCAACTTGGACAAGTCGAGGTCTCTTGGTGCTTTGATGTTTGAGTAGACAACCACAGCAAGTCGCGAAATGACCTGGAGATGCCACAGAGGTGAATGGCCCAAAGTGGCACTCCACGCGGTGTCCTGGAAGAGAAGCTCCTTGTCACTGGCGGACGGTGATAGGCTGGTGTTGAACCCCGTGAGCGATATCGATGACGGGCGTGACAGCTCGCCCAGCCTTGTTTGAGTCAGAACATCCGCCGCCCAGGATGCCGGTGGGGAGGGAGAGGGCCCGCTTACCAGTCACAGACAACCAGAGTCCACCAGAGTCGTCGGCCGAGATGGCGGTCTTCTGCCGTGCGCCATTCCGGTCTCTGTCGGAGATGTGGCGGGCAGCTGGCCTCGTTCGCCAGCAAGTGCATATCCAAACAGCGTGCTGTGTGGATGGCAGTACCCAGCAAGAGGTACTGGCGTTCCATCTGTCCGAAACTGCCATGGCACAGGGTCAAGATGGCAAAGGCCTGGACGGTTCTTAGACTCGGGCGAGCCAGTGGTCGCGCTGCATCCAGCTCGTCCATGGCGGCTTCAAACCAGATCCTCGCCAATGCCACGCTGGGATCCGCCTCAGCCGTTCCTGTAACCGGTGGCAGATGCAGCAGCTGTGGCAGGGGCGGACATTGATCGGGACTGAGGTACAAGCATGCGGCCTGCAGTATTGGGTCTCATTAGCTCACGGGATTGGGAACGCGGATAGTCAAGCAATGCGGAGTACCCACCGCAAGAATACCCAAGTAGAGGGCCATCCAGCCATGGTCTTGGAGTAGGTCTCCATGACCGCGCTCCATCATTTCCCAAAACAGCTGGTGCTCCCCCCAGAACTGCCCGGTGCGGACCCCACAATGCAGCCATGACAGCTCACTCAGCACAAAGCGGACTAGGGTCTCACTGGCCCCGCGATCGGGAAGGAGCATCAACACTACTTGCTGGATGGGCTGATAGAGATGATAGAGGCCACTCAGCTCGTGTGGCTGCTTTCCGGCAGAGCCTCGCCCATGAGACAGCGATTCGAGGATGACCAGAAGGTCTTCCGGACTGTCCTGCGGCCCACGACTCGCCCGGCGCACCGGATCGGCTGCGTACGTCTCCATTAGCGAGACGCGGTCCTGGATTAGCATCCGCTCCTGCTCAATCTCGTCTAATCTGCTGTGGGGATTAGTCCTTGGACGCTGGACTGGCCCGGTGCTTTCGGCCACGACGCAGTTTTGGGCTTGTCCGCGGCGCACGCAGGCCTCGCAGGGGTATCCGTTGCGACATTTGACCTTTCGCCGGGCACATTCAGCACAGCTTCGAGCAGGTCGTCGCAGGGACTTTGGAGTGTTCATTATGTGAGTGATCTAAGAGCAGTGGCTCGGAAGCCTTTTTCCCCTCTGCCAGGAAACAGATTGCCTTAAGAGCTAGTTCCCCGGATTTCCCCCACACTTGGACTGTTTCCGGAGGTGGCGTTCTGTTCCTTTCCCCACCGGACCGCTCGGCGCAGAGTGAGTCTCACGACTCTCAAACAATATAAGGCCAAATTCTCAGTCCACTTTGGGTAGACTCGTTGCATCAAATTACTCGACTCTGGACAATGGAGACAAAGATGGTCGACGATAAGACCAGTGTGGCCTTTGTGGAAGACCTCGGCGAGGAGGCCGGCAAGCCCCCAGGCAAGGAGCCTCGCATCATTGGAACCCTCAAGCTTGTTGAAGGCGACGACATCATCCTGGTTCCTGCGCCGACGCGCGATCCCCAAGGTCTGCTGCCCTCCCCAAGCGGTGTACACGTCCTGCTGCTGACACGATGCTGGTGCTCAAGATCCCCTTAACCTGCCTGACTGGCGCAAGTGCTGATGCTGATTATTGTTGCTCTCTGTATGCTTCACAACCCCGCCACCGCAGTGGAAGCTGATCAGTGGTAGATGGCATGACGGGCAACTTGCTGGCCAGCGGGATTGGGGTTCTCGTGCCTCAGCTGCAAGAGTACTACCACGGCGACTCGCGCGTCAATGATCTCGTCACGTACCCTGCCCTCTTCATGGGCATCGGGAACCTGGTCGCCGTCCCATTCGCCGATGCCATTGGTCGGCGCCCAGTGTACCTGTTGTCCAACGTTGTGCTAATCGTCGGTGGCATCTGGTGCAGCTATTCCGCCAGCCTAGGATCGCACATTGGTGGGCGCGACTTCATGGCCCTTGCTGCGGGGCAGAGCGAGGCCTTGTGTGTCATGATTGCAGAGGAAACCTTCTTTTTGCACCAGCGTGGCAGCCGTATTGCGTGGTTCTGCTCGTTGCAGACTCTGGGAACCGCCCTATTCATCATCGCCAGCTCCTACCTAACCGAGTCTCTGGGCTGGCGGTGGTGGTACGGCATCTTTACCATCATCAGTGCCGCCACGTTTGTCCTAAGTATTCTCTTTGTGGTGGAAACAAAGTACGATCGTCCCCTGCAAAGCTACTGTACGTGTACCCCAATTCTCTCTCCTGGTTTCCCACATTAACGGGATGCAGTCGGATTCGATCCCCAGGGAAACACCGTCAGGAAAAGCGAGTTCCGCACCCGACGCCTCGACTACGACACGTATGCCGATCGCTCCTTCTGGCGTGACCTACACCCCTGGGGCCATGTCACGGCCAAGTGGCGTCAGGTCCCCAAGTTCTGGTTCTCCCTGGCGCAGCTGTCCATCTTTCCTGGTGTCCTCTACTTTATCATTCTCAGTGGAGTGCTGCTGGGCACGTATATCGTCATGACCGCTGTCTTTGCACGGGTCCTCATCGCCCCTCCATACAGCTTCGACCCGCATAATCTCGGCTTTGTCATGGGTGGGCAGGCGGTCGTGGCCTTTGTGGTGCAGCCCTTAGCCGGCTATCTGAGCGACTTCATCCTCACGTTCTGGGCGAAGCGAAATAACGGTGTCACAGAGGTACGCTGAATAGTCCTGAGGTTGTCCAAAGGCTAACCGATTTCGCAGCCGGAAAGCCGTCTCATCCCTGCGATTATCCCACTCGCCGTCGGGATCATCTCCTGCGTACTGTATGGCCGAGCGTGCCAGTTCCCGGAGGACTGGGCATGGCCCGCCGTCGTTGTCCCCTTGAACGCTCTCTTCTACAGCTTTATAAGCATTGTCGTGCTAAGCTTCGTCTACACCATGGACTGCTACCCGCAGCGTGGACACGTGGCCATGGTTGCTCTCTGCGCTGGCCGCGGATTCATCAGCTTCGGAATCTCGTTTGGTACCACAGCTTTCGTCCATGAGCTAGGCTACGATGGCGCATTGAACGTGTGTGCTATCGTTATCGGTGCTCTCTTCGGGCTTGGAATTGTGCTGTACTTTACAGGCAAGTATATCCGCCGCTTCACGCAGAAGTGGGCCACAGAGGCAGCCTGAATGGGGGCTTTGAGGTTCCAATCAATGTGTGAATGGTGAATGTTGGCAGAAGGCTGTCGCGAGGCTGCTGGTTGTGGAGTGTACAGAGTGGGTGGGGGCTCTAAATAGCAACTAGGCTAGTCAAGCATTGGATTCGAAGATGGTTTTACTCCTGCAACTCTCCAGAAAGAATTCTTGTACGCCCATATGCTCCACATGCCACCCAAACGCGGAGGCGAGGGTCCACATCAGGGCCATCGGCGAAAGCCTCGAGAAAGTAAATATAAAATCTTGATCCGATAATACTAGCTTAAGTCTGTTGGGGTTTTGTCCTACTTTCTCTGGCTACCACTATCTAACCTCCAGTCTAAATCATTGCGTCTATTTATCGTGCCTATGTTTAACTCCTGTATTCAGGGAGATCCTGGCAGATACTGGAGAGGATTACACATTCTCGGTGTTGTAGGATTTCTCACTGAAATCGCAATACACTATATCCTTGTCCTTCAACTCCCATTGCCCAATATCACCATTTCCAGGATAGTGCCACACGGATTGTATACCAGCCCCCGTATCCAACCAACGAGACCACAGGGAGCACAATAAACACAGCACCGACCAGGATACCTTGTTCGAAAAAGCCAATGGCAGTGCCAGAACCCTGCCCTGTAGAACGTAAGGCCGATCTGGCTTCAACCCGCACGCGGTCCAATGCCACGCGGTCCAGGTCTTTGAGTTCTTGCAGAGTTATAGCGGGCTTCTTGGCTTCCTGTATGTACTCTGGTCGCGGCTGGGAGAGCATTTCCGTGCTGTATCGAAGCATGGGGAATGAGGAGGGCTGGCCATTGTGAAGCGGGATCGCAGGCCCAACTGTCGATATTAGCTGAGGACAACCCGGTCATGGAGGCGTGACAAACCCAACAACTCCGGCGGAATATGGTTGGCAACCGCCAGTCGACTGTTGATTTGCTGGCTAAGGAATTTTGCTGCGGCGGGCTGTGCAAAGTGGTATGCGACAAGGCATTTCGAGCTAAAAGAAGGCAATATCAGCAATATCCATCGACAGTGAGGAGACTATCAGATACAAACCCTTCCAGTGCAACTACCGCGTCGACCAGACTGGTTATTGTCATGATAGGCAGGAATGCCCCGCACGGTCTGGCCTCAGCAACAACGGATGAACGGCTGTCGATTCGTTAATCAATTTGCTCCAAAGATCCATTGTATACACTGACCGGTCTCGTATATCCACCAGCATCAGGCTCGTTGTCCCAATGACAGAGGCTTCTCCCAAGCTTTCAGCTTCAGCGATTGTCTGGCGTACCTTGTCGCTGGCCGTGACTCGTTCACGGCGCGAGTCATCAGGAGCCAGTCGAATACATGCATTCACAAATTCCCTCTTGACCCATTCATTGACAAGGATCAGATCCGGTGCGTGCGGCGATGCGCCCCGATATGCGACGTGTGCTGCTACGATTGTGTTGGCAGCCTGTTCCACATTTGCAGTCCTGTCGACAACAGCGACTGATCGTAGTTGCGGCTTTGATGACAGACAGTTTGGCAGGGAAAGCTCTCCTGTCTGGTCCACCACAATAGACACCTGTTTTTGCTCGGTTTCTGTTGGTCTGCCGTCAATTAGCTGGTATGTCTCTGCGTCAAGACACGAGAAAAGGGTAGGGAGGAGGCGATCCACCGCAAAGTGGCCGACCTGCAGAGTCAGTATGGTCACAAGAAAGAGCATACCGAATTCGATACGAACCTCGATTGCGACAGTGTTGCCAGCGGCAATGGCAGCCGCGACGGTAGCAACAATGGAATACCAGCGTGTGTGCTTTGCAGGACGAATCAAGACTACACCGCATCCGACGCGACGACCAGGCGAATTCAGGCCCTGGGCGACTCGGTATTCCCTTTGCACACACTGGTCAAAGTTGATGGACTCGTAGTATTGCTTCACGGCAAGAATCGTGGTTGCACACTCAATCTCTGCTTCGGCAGCTGTCACCCCACGATCAGAGACAATGGCCTCGCACGCCTCGGCCTGGAGGTGCTGTAGTTTGGCATGCAGAGCAATCAGCTGGCTCTGCTGGAATCGGACACTGGCTGCGCGGCCGTCGAGAGCTGCGCCGTGCACGCTGGACAGGCGATCTAATGCCAAAGACATTTCCAGGGGGATCGGAATGGATGAGTCGTCGCGCTGTGGGTTCAAAGTTGTTCTTAATCCTTCTCCAGCCTTGTGTGCCTCGGACTTAGCTGCAAGCCCCCACCGGAAGCGCGCCACCTCCTCTCGGAAGCACGGACAATGGCCTCATTTCCGTTGTCTCCAATAAAGGATGGCTGCACTGGCTCACTCGGCGATACGGTTCCACCAGCTTTCGGCCACCTGTTTCAACTTCAGTGCCCTCTGTCTCTACACCAACGCGCGACAATGGCAACGACCGTTACCGCAACCACCCTTGCGGACACCCTCCAGGATTATCACATCCATCTAACAGGTGTCGAGGATGCGCCTCCAGTGCAAGTAACGGCGCGACAGTCGCAGGCGCAAAATCCACCACATTGGCCACAAAACTACCGCCGCGTGCCGCCATACCGTCCTATAAACCGGCATCTCAATCCAGCCGAGCGGCCGAGCGGAGCAAGTACCGGCGAGTATATCTTCGTCAACGTGATGCTGAATGGGGTGCGCATCAATTCAGTATGTCTAGCATTTGGGTGCCATGCCTACCACCGAGTGCGGCTGATTCTGATCTGGCAAACATAAAACAGTTCTTGGTGACTACGTACGAGAAGTCATTTGGCAAGATCTATCCTCGGCTGACGAGGTATGAGATTGGCGGCGAATGGTGATCTGGGGTTTACAGAGGACACATTTAGTTTGGCCAGATAAATCGAACTGTCTATCCCATTTTTTAACATGATAATCGTAATTGTACATCGTACCTGCCCCAGACAAATCGTCTATGTACCGAGCACCGGGAAGGGAGCGCACCTCCACCGGAATTGTCTGTGGAGCATCCGGAGCGAACTCGGGGAGAGGAATGGATGGTAAAAGAATTGTGAAATGGTCGCAAATATATAAGAGTCAACGGAACAACTGATTTCTAGAGACACACCTACGCACTGCATCCAACACAAACCCTCACTCTTTGACCACGCCCAACGCATTCCGTGACATTGCTGAGACTTTCGTAGACGAGGAAAATAGCCTCATCTTCGAGAAGAATGTCTCCATCCCTCTCACAGCCGATGGGTCCGTTATTCGGTGCAACGTGTACCGGCCCAAAGCCCAGGGCAAATACCCCGTCCTGGTCACGTACGGGCCATATGGGAAGGATATCTTCTACGGAGAGTATGTGATTTCCCCTTAGCCTGGTCTGTTGCCAAGGCTTACACGCTACTCCTAGCTTCCACCCCAAATCCTATTCGGAGGTGAACCCCGAGCATAAATCCAAATATGCTGCATGGGAAACTCCCGAGCCTGTATTCTGGACTGCCCGCGGCTATGCGATTGTACGGGCCGATGAGCGAGGCCTGGGCCAGTCCCCTGGCGTGTTGGACACAATGTCTGCTGGCACGGCAAACTGCTTCTGCCAGGTTGTGGAATGGGCAGCAGACCAAATGTGGTCATCGGGCAAGGTGGGTCTTTTGGGCGTCAGCTACTATGCAGGTAGGTATTGTTGGATCTTGCTTCTACCTCAAACATGCTAAATCATATACAGGAAGCCAATGGCGCGTGGCAGCAAAACGGCCGAAGGGTCTCGCGTGTATCATCCCCTGGGAAGGAATGTCCGACTATTACCGCGATCGTTGTCGCCACGGGGGCATTTTTTCGAATAACTTTATCAATTTCTGGTGGCACCGTCAGGTCATCACGAACCAGTACGGTCGACCGGGGAGGGCAGCTGACAAGTGGGGAGAGGACACCATCGAAGGTGATGTGTCACCTGAAGAGCTCCTGGATAATGTCCGCGACCAGAACCTGGACAATGATGCGAACCGATTCCTCGATGATGAGTATTATGCGTCCAAGGCCTTTCCGCCAGAGGCTATTGAGGTTCCACTTCTATCGGTGGCTAACTGGGGAGGTATTTCGCTTCACCTGCGAGGAAATGTCGAGGGCTACGTGTATGCCGGCTCAAAATCTAAGTGGCTGCGATTCATTGTTGGACGCCACGATCTCCCATTTTACTACAAAGAGGAAGTTGATGTGCAGGTGAGTTTCCTCGAGGCGTTTCTTAAAGACAACGACTACGCCGGGTGGAAGTCTGGACAAGTTCCTCCCGTTAGTGTTTGCTTGCGTAAGGGCAATGTCGGGTTTGACAACCCCGAGGGCGAAAAGACTTTTCCCCGTCGCGAGGAACAGGAATGGCCGATTGCGCGGACGGTTTATACAAAGTACCATCTCACTCCGTCGCTCGTCATGAACGAGTTGCCACGGCCAGTGGCGAGCCCAACACGGCTCTCGTACAAAGTATTTGGCTCTCCGGCCGACTCCCACATGCTTCAATTTAACACGGCACCTGCAACGTCCGAGTACGAAGTCACTGGTCACATTACCGCGCATCTCAACGTCTCCATGACTAGCGCAATATCGCCTCCACCAGCCAAACTCGATCTGGATCTCTTCGTCACATTGAGGCACCTTTCCGCCACAGGAGCCGAGATATACTACACTGGCTCGTCCGGTGATGCAGTTCCCGTAACCAAAGGATGGTTGAGGCTCAGCATGCGCAAGGTGAACGAAGCCAGTCCCCGTCATCGGGATTTCCTTCCGTGGAGAGAGTATCGCTCGACAGATGTTCTTCCGGTCAAAAGCGGCAATATCTATACATGTGACGTGGAACTATGGCCGACAAACGTTGTTGTCCAGGAGGGTGAAACTCTCATGTTTGAGATCGCTTCAGAGGACACTCAGGGCGCTGGCTTGTTCAAGCACAACTCTCCAGTGGACAGGTAAGCAACTCCAAACATGTCTCATACTACGTTACATACTAACGATGGCTACAGGCCAAGGGAGGTGTTCGAGGGGGAGAATCACATTCATTTTGATGACTCTATCGAGAATTACTTGGTGCTTCCAATTATTCCAAAAGCGGCCTGATGATTGGAAAATCTCGGAATGGTTCGAACTATATAGTGTACCTAGCATAGCTTTCAGACAGTAAAACTTGCCATTCAATCAGAAGTACGGGTGCCCGAATCCACAGACCGTAACAGACAGTTCTCTCCCCATACCCCGGAATCCTGCCTTGACAATGCAATGCATGACAGAGCTCAGGAAGCAGCATGAGCACTATACCCTAGTACCTGGGATGTGTGCATACACCTTGTACCCGGGTCTATAGATTAAGGATGGACTTGAGAAATAATTGACAGGGTGATGAGAGGTCCACCTGGCCTTCTATATTCATTTTGGAAGACTGTCCCTTACGCCCTTACGCCCTTTGTGCTGTTGCAAATGATATCAAGCATACTTTCTGTATTATAGGATTGCATGGTTAGCGCTATAATCCCCATCGAACACCTTACGTAGAATCTGGGCCTTCGGGCGCCGGGTGGAAGAAGTGCATCGGGCGCAATAAGCCTTAATAAACCACACAAAGCAACCAATTAATTGACTTTCGGATAGATAGATCTGTTCGCCCCGGAAACGCTGCTTGACAAAGGTAGTACGGGTCTAATAATAATCATGCGAGGACTGAATGTCCTTAATACTCGGTTTTCTGGTCTTCTACCACTTTGAAAGCCGGAGAGGTAATGTCGGTGGTTATTAATAGTTTCCAGCCCATTGCCCATCCTATGCAGGTTTGAGAGCAGTCAAAGGATTTGGCCATTGATGTGGTGCTGCCAAGATGATACCTATCGCCATCGCGTTGTTGTTTGTGATAACACTGCTGAATTAGCAATTAAGTTATCTACCACAACATAAGCGCGCGCGTTTCCAGGCTAAGGACTGTGCGGTAGGCCATGGTGATCCAATCTGGGATCAGAAAACTGGCAGTTAACGAGATCTGCACCTCCGAGCAAGGCATCGCGAGTAATGCTTGCATTCAGTCGCGCTCGGGTCGCCCCCATCCCTCCTCCAATCTATTGAGGCTTTCCAGCCAAGTAAGGGTTCGGGAGATTAGGTAAGAATGAAGCTTTCATGTCGTGAGTGTGGTGACTTTCGTGAAAGGCCTTCTGAGTGTAGGGGAAAGAGGGAAGCAAAGAAATGGCTACCAGGTAGGCAGTGAGAAAAGTATTCATAATTTGATATCGCAAGCGTAATCGCCTCCAATACCAGGCGAAGCCAAAGCTAACGTCCATTACGTCTATCTTCTTAAAATTAGTGAAGCAGTAGGGTCAACATTAGCTGTTCTCAAGAGTTTAATACTCGTCTAGTGTAAGAGATAGAGCCAGGGCACCCTATTCCACAAGGCCAAAAGGTCAGAATAATTCGGGATCAACGATCCCGAAGCCCAAGGACTGACATATACAGAACCCACTGTTATATAACTTCAACTTCTACAAAATATATGTATTATTCCGTTATCCTAGTTCTCTGAGTCCTCCCTCAGACCTCTTAGCTCGATTGGTATTTATAATAGACCGATATGTAGTATAATATACTATCATTCGAAGCGATGAACAAGCTTGAGATCGCAGGAGACTACTTACCCGGTGGTCAGCTGACCTGCGCTCAGTGTTTACTATTTAGGGTCGCGTGGGCCACTAAATAGAAAGAATCAGACATAACTTGCTACTCGTTCTCCTGGAGAAGGTGGCAGACAGATCGCGTTGATCTCTGTGGAATAGTTCGCTTGCAGATCGTAGTGGATCTACCAGAACCTCTGTGGCAAGGGGGGTCCTATCATATTTTGTATACTCTGGCAAAATTACGAAAAGAAAATGATATAGAGAACCCCTTTAGTTTTGGTGTTGTAAGTATATCCTTTCCTTCTCCAAATTTCGCCAGTTGCAGACCAAATATGATAGGACGATACTTGCCACGCGGTTCTAATAGCTGAAGGAAATTGCTCCACAGGGATCAATCAATACGAGCTTTCCCCACCCTACCAAAGTATGGAGATCGATAGATTCGTGATCTACTGGACCTTGCCTTAAGTAGGCTAGTCCGGAGTACATAACAGTGTAAATCACTTCTAAACTTGACTAGTCAGAGTTTTTGGAGTGTTGTTTGATTATTCACCTGCAAATTCGACTCGATATATCATTAGTAGTTCACTCGCCCCCTTGAGTGATACTGTATTTTCCGCAAAAAAAACCTCCTCGCTATCACTTCACACCTCTGGATGAAATATTTGGCAACATGGTAAAGCTCATTACCATCTCATTTATGAGCGGTCTTACCCTTGCTCTGGCGGCCACCAGTACGTTCCTTGTTCCTCTCCTCGTTTAAAATACCATATATCCTTTGATAGTTTGCTAATATTAATGACTGTTTTGGTGAAAATCTCTAGGTATTACCGCTGGTGATAATACCTTGCTACGACGAGACTTCGATTGTGACTCTTGCACACTGGTCATGGGTGGAATTATAGGGCAACTCGGAGATGAACATGGCGGCGCGGCTGTCGTACAGGCTATGGAGAAGGCTTGCCCCGTGCTACCGATGGATCCGGCGCAATGCAAAAACTACATTGACGTATACGGCAACATGATGGTTCAACTTATCCAGCAAGATCTAACCTCCAATGAAGTATGTGCTGTGGTGGGATTGTGTTAAGTCTTTGCGGGTGAGGGCGATTACCTATTTCCAAGCGATTCGTTCCAATACCAATAATATTCCTCCATGGAATGCAGAACATTCCCTATGGTACCGCAGAAGATGTCATGTCATGAGATAGACAAAAATAAAGCGGTTGGAGCACAGGTAAGTGTCGAATGTGGAATGTCTTGTCAAGATATCTTGCGAGGCAAAAGGACTACTCGAGTTATATTTAATATGTGCTGCTAGTTCTAAATTATAAGTAAATTCCACCTGTACTTAATACTAGGTAGATAAGTCGTTGATCATCTTAAAATTTAGCTTCCATATCTAATTAATGTACGGAGTATAATCTACTTAATGGTACTCGTAGCGATCAAATAGCACCCTTTTGCGTCTTCAGTCACTCAGTTGAGAACTCAACTCAAGAGTATATATACACGCTGGTTAGATTAATCCCCGTATTTCATCATTGGTTTAGTATGGTGGCTCATCGTGAAGAGGCTCTCAATATGCCCATACACTTTTGCGGCTCTAAAAGTAAGTGTCCGCCAGCGCAGAAGATAAAGGAGATCACCTACTTCTATGTATTTTTCGTCATTGACCATAAAATTTTACATGTCATACAGTAGGTATAATCAATAATCTAACCACAGATATTGTAAAGTTAGTTAGCCCGCAGCATTGCTCAGAAGGTACACATAAGCACCACCCAACTCCTGCATAGCAGCCACCATAATACCTGAGTCGTTGGTCCCAGTCTGGCTGCTGGCGCACCCAGTATGTCATGGCAATGTTCGATGGATGCGTATGTGGAGGTGCCGCGCAATGCACAGGTGGCGGCAGCTATGATGGAAAAGCTTCCAAAGGATTGTCCATACGGATTTGATATTGTTATGGAAACTACTAGAGGCGCGAGGATTCTAGAATAGACCATTTACGTGGTTACCAGGGGTGGTAAGCTGGTAGTGTACGGTATTTATAACTATGATGATTGGGCGTCACTTCCACCAAATATCATTTTTCAAGGAGGAGATCAATGGTATCGGCTCGTTCTGTCAGATGTATAATGTTTCGGCCGCTACTGACTACTAACTAGGCTTCGGAGTAGCGAGGGAGCCAAGGCGTAGGGAAGGGATCGAGGGGCGGATGATTTCATGCCGCCCTGGTAAGCAAGGAACAGTCTAGGTGTTGTAGAGGCACAGAGACAAGGACAACAGCACTCTTCCATGAGTATCTCAGTGCGTGATCCATAGGGAGTAGAAAAGGATGGTTGCTGATGGTTCGGTTCGCATCCGATAAACTTGGCGGACGGGACTTGGCATCTTCCCGATCGTTGACATCGGCAGGGCCGACGGAATATGCAGGGTCGTGGAGCGCAACTGGAGTTCTCCAACGAGATAGGCAATGTTGTCGAGCAGTTGAATCTAAAAATTTAGATATTGGAGCCGCAAAATTCGCTCGGTGGCGAGAACAGGCTGGACAATCAAACCGGAGTCTTTCTTCCGTCAACAGTGTGGAAGAACTGATAGAAAGAATGTGATTAGCACCCTAACGACATTACAAACCATAAAATTCCAAGTTTTGATCTCCTTGCCCTTTGATTCATACATAACCCTGATCTTGAACGTCTACTTCGTAACTTTCAACTTAGCCTGCTTCCAGCTTGTGGCTAGGCTTGGATTATCGAATGGCATTCACAGGATTATAGAGTAAGCGCAGCAACGTCATTATGAACCTAGTAGATTATATTATCAGGAGCAGATATGATCGATAGAGTCGAGCTACATCGTGCTACTGCACAGCCTGTTGAGCACGTATTAACATGGGATATTGGTGGGTTCTGATTCTAACGGAAGTGATCGACCTACTCAAGATAGCTAACTGGATCCAGAGCGTTTGGTCGAAACCGGGGATGTAACAGCCGTTTTATAATCTTGAGAGCTCCACTTAATTAGGTAACCGTTCAACAATCACACCAATCTTTGCCAGTTTTCTTTCCAGGTCGTAATAACCTCTATCAATATACTTTACACCGACAACGATGGACCTCCCTCTGCCAGCAACAGCTGCAAGAACAAGACTCGCACTGGCTCTCAGACCCGAACCAGACATGAGGGCACCAGACAGCTTCTCCACTCCACTGATTATGGCTGTCTGTTCACAAATGCGTATATCTGCCCCCATGGCCTGGAGACCAAAGCATTGACTAAATCTGCTCTCAAAAATGGACTCGATAACGTGACTTGTGCCTTGGGCTAAACAAAGCAACACCATAAATTGTGGCTGTAGGTCTGTTAGAAATGCGGGATAGGGTCCAGTCAAAATGTCGACAGCTAAAGGTTTTCTTGCTTTCTGGACTGTTATGGACTTGTCCGCTATATCAACACGAGCACCTACTTCCCTAAGCTTTTTGATCAACATTGCATGCTGCTCAGCGTGACAGGGATGTACAGTAAGAGGGTTCCCATATATTGCCCCAAGGATTAAAAAGGTGCCCGCCTCTAACCTATCTTCCATAGCTTCGTACTGACAAGGTGACAGAGGCGCACTCCGGCCATGGATGATAAGGTGGTCAGTCCCCGTGCCATAAATGTCTACTCCCATGAGGACCAGCAGGTTGATCAAGTCACCCACTTCTGGTTCACGAGCTGCGTTGTGTATATGTGTCACCCCGCGAGCCAAACAAGCTGCCATGATAAGGTTCATGGTTCCAGTCACCGAGGGGATCTCCATGTATATGGTTGCTCCTTGTAAGCGAGAATCACGAGCCTCAATGTGCCCGTCTGTCACTCTGACACAAGCCCCAAGCTTTCTGAGGCCTTTTATGTGTTCTTCAATCGGACGTTTCCCAATGCTACAGCCACCAGGGAAGCTTAAACAGGCATACCCAAATCGAGCAACGAGCGGCCCAAGAAACAATATCGATGCTCTCAAGCTACGAGTAAGCTGCAAAGGAATAAATAGAGACGTTGCATTTGTGGTGTTAATTTTTAGGTTGCCGCCAACTCGCGAAACATCTGCTCCAAACTATTGCAAGATGGAATCCATGTTTTTGATGTCTGATAATGGTGGGAGGCCATGGAGCTTACTGGGCCCGGCTGCTGCTAGTGTTGCCGCCATAAGTGGTAACCCGGCATTCTTTGAACCGGAAACCTGAACATCTCCGGTGCCATCTCGCCCACCATCTATTGCGATAGTGCCTGGCATTGTATTGAGGTGAACTTGAAGAGGCGCCAGGGAAGCTTGGGGCAGATATAGGAAAAAGGGTGTGCCCCGGAAGCTGACAATGAGATGTGTAGGAAGGATTTGGATTAGTAGACGCTACTGGAGTACTAAAAAGAAGACACAGACAGAAGACACTGCACATGCGAGAATACAAATTGATTGATTTCTTCTTCGTTCATCAATGTTGGCCGGATTTTCTCCCTGAAAAATATTAGCGGTGTGTTAGGGGTTTATTTCCATTCAAGCTTATGCAGTACGAGCGCTTTGGGCATACTCTGTAAATTGGGAAGACTTGTAAGGTAGCCCTGAAAGCCAATGATATTCAGCATCGCAGAGAAGACAATCTCATCGAGCTGAGAAGCTGGACCCTGGGAAGTAAGAAACCCTAAATACGGTAAATAACCTGTTACAACCCCCGGGTACCTAAGAATCTTGCGTATTCATGCAACACGATCGGTCCGTTTGACTTAACCCGGGTTTCTATCAGTGGGTCATGCTGTACAGGCTCGGGCCGAAAATTAATACGATAAACCTTGCAAAAAGGAAAATCCAACAAACTGAAACTTGGTTTACATCCTCCTACCATCATGCAAAATGTTCCTACTGCTACCATATGAGTTGCAGTTGCAGATTGTAGGCCATGCTTCTCCCAGAGATTTACCCTCTCTGTCATTAAGCTGTAAACACCTTAGGGAAGCCTGTCGCGAACATCTCCGAGAATATGACACGTACACACGACGGCTATCGCAAGACTCTGGCTTCGCAACGCCCGCAAATGTTCGATACCACAAAGCTGACCAGGCGTTCAGCATTGGTGCTCCACAGTTGTTGCTTGATATTGCCCAAAGTCCCCGTCTGGCCCGGTATGTAGAGGAACTGGTACCCCACCAGTTCGACTTTCAGGACCGCCCAAATGTACCCTGGGAACTTGGCCTCCGGTGGGCCAAACGCCTTCTTCAACAATCACCCATTCTCATTGAGGAGGATGAAGTGGGCGATTGGATGCATGCGCTGTCCAATGGGGTTGGGGGAGCTACATTAGGCCTGCTCCTAAGCCAGCTCACCGAGCTGAGGCGGATGCAATTAAATGTGTGCGCGCAAGACCCAATCACGCCCTACGTCCCCCGAGCCGTGAGTAGGCTAGCAGCGAGGTCACAGAAGGGACTCCTCGACCAGGCCTTGTCGGTATTAGCGGAGGTGCGAATTGAATGCACGTCATATGGGGACGAGGATGAGTACGAGGATGAAGGGAGTAGTTCAGGAGGCAGTCAGGACCAATGGGACCAAAGGCCACAGGCAGTCCTGGCCGACGATCATTACCAGCAGATCATCCGTCTCTTGGCTGCGTTGGCTCGACTACCGGGTCTTCGGAATCTCTCTGTGATGGATTATTACTCACAGCCAGTGTGGCAGGAAGGCACCGAGGACCGAATCACCATCGCCCTGGACTGGGACGATGCCATGGACCCAGCCTATCCTCTGCCGCTCGCAAAATCAGAACTCGAGTCATTGATTGTGGATCGTGGAAATATCTCCGGTCGAGCGTTGTCTCGGATTATTGAGGGATGCTCTAACTTCAAGCAGTTCAAATATATGGTCTTCCATACACCAGAAGTATTCGGGAGACACTTCAACGGCGTGCTATGCCAACCGCATCTGCCCGACATGACCGTGGAGGCGGTATGCCTAGCCCTTTTAACGTACGCGAAGTTGACGCTACGGCATCTCCATATCGAGTTGATGGAATACGGATCAATTTGCGGTTGTCGGCATGAGCCGTGTTTAAATCCATATAGTCCCTATATGTCTATTAACCCGCACACGCCTCCCACGACGAACTGGAAGTGGAATGAATTCACCCAATTGGAACGTCTTACCCTCGACATCGATTTATTCAGCAATCTTGAGGATGGCGGCTGGCTGCCCTTCGCACAGACCCTCCCCGTCTCTATTCAGGATGTCGTGATCCTCGCGTCTCGCTGTCCCCCCGAGGCGGATCAGCGAGACTTTGAGAATATGTTTCGGGACTTTAAGCCACAGGAGTTTCCAAGCCTCCGGTCCATCAGCGCGTGGCATCGGAACTCCTATTCCGACCTGGGCCACAATGGAGCTCAGCACATCTTGACGGTCTATTCACAAGCGCTTGACCGCGCTGGCATCCCACCAATGCAGACTATGGAGTACAGCTTGGGGAGCGAGTATTTCAATGAGAGGCAGAAGGCTCATCGACGCCGGTGGCAAGGGATCCAAATGAATGAGTTTGGGAAGGATGACTACTACCTATATGCGCTGCCTGAGAAGGATCTAGTGGGGAAAGTAGTGTTTGGTGTGTATCATTCCAAGGGAGAAATCCGAGCCAGGGATGACGTCTATAGCGGAGTCATGATTGGGAAATCGTGGGGCTAGTTATGTAAGGAATACGTGGAGTATAGCCTTTAAGCATCCTCTTAAATAAGTTATTAGTATAGTCTTGAGATACCCGTTGCACCAAGATATATGTCTCTACCCCACGATGCCGAGTCTTGATCAAGTTATGCACATGGTCACTTTGGAATTCTGTCTAGCATAGATCTTCCTACACTAGTATCAATAACCTTAACCCTAGAACCCGGACCAACCCAACCCAATCGGGTTCTGCCTTCCAAACCCACCCCCGGAAATTACCGGGTTCGGGGCGGGCTCGGGTCGGGTTCAGCGGGGAACCCGACCAACTCTAGCCATGACGCCGCAAGGTGCGGTCGCGAGAATAATGTGAAAGAGAAGCATGCTGCTTGATTCGCGTTGCCGGGATATATCGAGTAGGTTGCTATGGTTTTAGTCACGATGCTTCCCCAGGAGAAATTTCTCGTATGCTCTAGTAGCTCTAATAAAGCAATGTGGATTGTGAGTTTCTCAGAGGCCTTCTTTAGAAGAGAAGAAAAAAAAACTAAATAAAAACTGATGATTAGCTTATTTCACTAACACATACATCTCATGAAAGAAACACACTCGGATGCATATCCGATAGCAAATGCACGAACACATTCAGTTGGTTAACAGGTTGGTCAACACTCAGGAGAAAGCCACATAACCTTAACATGGCATGACTGAAAAACTGAGACTGTCTAGGCCAACTGTGCGTGACCAGCCAATGGGTGTTCAAGAGCATCTCGACCCTGGGTGCGTTGTTCTTGACCTGTCATCCTGAATTTACTTGGCAGCAGCGCGAAGACCATCCCATCGCTGCTCTTCCATAAGGCTTAATTTTCCCGGAAAAAAGATATCCCGCATACTTAGTCCAACAGAGGGATACCTCTCCTCCACTTCGAACAGCGTGTCCATGACCTTGGGGAGACCAATAACCTCCTTGAACTTCAGTGGCATTCCGTATGCATCGGGGGAGCGCCAAGTTATTGCGACATATATGTTCTGGAAGACTCCGACAGCGCACACGGCAAACAGGAACCACGTATGCTGTTTAATGCCCGTGGCGGTGATAAGCAGGACAATCCACAGTGATGCCAAAACCATGAGCTGGAGTTGAGTCAAATGAGTCATCTGCGAGCCTCCACCAGCAGCAAGATCTTCAAGATCGAACCCTTCCTCTTCACCGAGGATAAGGATGACAAATTGACTGCCATTGCCACGGGAGAGAAGAATGCTTTTCCTGGTCCCGACTCGGCACGCCCACTTTTCGTCAGCCCATCGCGAAATGCTGCATGTCGCAAAAGAGAGAATGATGCCTGAGGTAGTGACGAGGAAAATGCTCCAGTCGCCGAAAATGCCCAACGGGATGGCTGCGATGCCTAGCTGAAGTATACATACCACAAACCCAACGTAGTACAAAAGATCGCGACCAGCGAAAGATCTGGAAGTTGGGCCTGCTTGATAAACTGCGATACATAAACCTACACTGGTCCGCCGTAGTACGCGACTGCCAGACCCAGGAACCATCCTTTCCGCCAGGGCCTTTTCGTGGTCGACCTTTCGCTCGAGCATAGCATCTAGGTGGGCTCGAACGGCAGGGTCCATCCACCTATTGAAATCCCGCCAAAGACGACCGACGAGCCAGCTTCTATTTTCTTGGACGTACCCGCTTTTGCCATTGATGACAATGCATTTGGAATCTGCTTCGGGCATGAGGTCGTTGCCCGCGAGAGCAGACAGAGCTGATTTGACTGCGAACACGACCCATCCTAGAAGGTTCAAAGTTTATCACTGTCAAAAAAGATTTAACGCAGAAGAACCACAGCCTCAAGCGTGTAGAGGAAACCCCAGTCTTTAGGCATGATACATACCGATGGAAAAAGCGACCGGGACCAGGCCACGACCAGCAAGCTGTGCGACAGATTTGGCCACCATCTCTCCACCATCGCCACCCAGGATGAGAAGCGCGGTGAATATATCACTTGGATTGGTCCACTGGTCCAAGAACTCACTGTTCGGTGTTGAGAGATCGAACCCTCGGCGATATAAGGTAACAAGGCTGGCATTGTAGTGAAGGCCGGTGAGACGTCAGTGGTAGATAGAAAGTATCAGCTGTTGATAGACGGCAATGGAACAGAGAAGTCCAAAATCAACAGGACAATTAGACTGCGGATCGATGCCTATTCTGAATGATGTAGCTCTGAGGAGAGTAGCTTTACTAAATAATCAGGCAGCAACGCTCATTAGATCTAGAGCCCCATTGGACTCCAAATTCTTGAGATAGTCATGGGTCTATAGAACTTACACGCTGGTCAATGGTCAGATGCTAATTGAAGCAATGCTTATGACCTCATGATTATCCTTCCGCTTTAGGATAAAGTTGGTGGAGCTCACCCAGTTCATAAGGCGGTCGGCCATTGCGCCTCGATACTTGCTACGCTAGCCACAGTAACTTACTTAGTTAACTATCAACAAGTCTGAATTGCTGACTAACTATATATCCAAAGGACATTTTGTAATCTCTTTTCCTAGAACTGCCGCTAGTAGTCGTCTTTTTAGCAGAATCAAGGTCAAAATCAACTATGTTTATCATTTGCTCCCAGAGTCCTACCATATACGAATCATTATACCAACTATTCTTCGCTTCTACAAAAAATATTACTTCACTCTTACGAAATGTAGCGAGGCTGGGACTGGATTGAAGATGATTTGCATGTAATTCACAGTGCTTCCCAAACCAGTTTTCCGTGCAGTCCGGTCACACCAGCACCAAAACAAGATCAAATATCCTCATAATGAAAACTTGCTTTGATATGAGCTGTAGTCCAGCCTTTCCAATGTCCTGGCTTGGTCTCGGAACCATCATGGTCAAACCAGATTTTATCGTCCGTCGCATCATCATACGACTTGCCGTGCTCGGCCACCTTTTTAGTATGGCCGTGGTAATCCACCCAAGCTGTACCAGGCTTCTCGGCAATTTTGTTTGGAAAGACATCTCTGATTTGAACGGAGAGTCGGTCCTTAAGGTCGCTCATGGAAGGATGTCGACCTTCATGCTCACCATATAATTCTGCTTCGAAGGATCTTCTGTCGCTAGACATTACAACGATTGTGGGTTTGCTCAAGGTGAGGCTAAGGCTCTTTGATGCTCAAGAATATTATGGATTAGGTTCTTCGATGATGCAGGATATAAAATTTGTAAAGAAGTCCAGGGTGAGGAAGGCGACTTTATAGATGGGAGGAATTTCCAGAGGAGCCTCTGCTAGAAGAGTCTCGCCAGTCTAGATTTATGGCACAAGAGACTTTTCCATGGTCACTTGATTAATGTAAAGTTTGGTCATAACAGAAGGGAAATCTAGATTCAATCGACAAGGGACCAATGTAACATGTCCAAATACGATACTAGATGACACAATGCTACATAAGCCGATAAAATGGCTAGTTCAAATACAATGTACAGCATTCACATAGTGGTTTATGATGGTAGCCAGTCTATGCCTTTTTCTCTCTCTTTTTTTTCTCTCTTTTTCCCCTCATTTATTAGGAGGAAGGGAATGATTTTGCGATGAATTAGATCGCAGAACTTTCTTTAGTAAGTTCAGTCCACCTGATCAGGATTGAGATAGTATGATCCAAGCACGAATAGTCCCTGCCTCAGTTCTGTAAATTTTCATGACGTCTCGTCTACATTTAACACGAATCTAGATGGTTATATTAAGTCTATTCTATGTTCCATAGTCTAGACCCTATCCAGATAGAACGACCTAGGGAGGGCCGTTTGCGGCCGATAAACGGGTCACGCGTGGGCGATAAAAAATAAACTTTGATTTTGTTCTTGGCAGATAAATAGAACAAACTATATGGTCTTTCATGGAGGGTATAATAAAAGGGTTGAAACTTGTCGAGTTAATTTTCAGAATGTATGACGATGGAGCCTCTTGTGACTACACTCTACACGCCATGCATGTGGTGTTACCCGAATATTATAGGACAAAATTATTTCCAGTCAGTGAGAATGTTAATAAAAGCAGCGGTTTACAAAATGATGATAGCCATGGACTTTGCCGTAGTAAAAAGTCCAATAAATTACTTAACTTACAGTAAAGCTACCTAAGTAAATAACATCAGTTAAATCCTAGAGTCTATAAATTGAACTCACTAAAATATTGTATATAAGTTCTTATACTTATATTGACAGGATCGGGATCATAAGCATACTACGTACTAAATATCTAAGGTTTTCCTTAGATCTGAAAGGGCGACTGACGTCTCCACGTATCGTAAGTATTTACCTAGTATATTCCTAGTCCTTTATAAGCGCCGTGGTCTCTACTGCCCGGCCGGATAAGGTAGCTCTGTTTGCGGATAGTATAACTAGGGGTCAAAACGGAAGAAAGCCCCCGCCACTAAGCATCTTCAACTCAGGGCCTAGATGCTCATAGACTGGAGATAGACTTGATCTGCGTAAGCTAGACTAGTGATGCTAAGCATAATCAGGTCTAGCATAAAGTCCAGACCGACGTGGATCTCGATAGTATCCGCGTAGCCACGGGCCGTTCTCGTATGTTATGGCTCAACAGTTAGGTGCAAACAGCGGATACTAGACATACGAGACACTGATTCTCGATGAGTACGCCTTTGCTGCTGCATTATGCCCAAAAACAGTTCTTAAGTACCACCTTGTCTGCACCCGAAATAAAAGCGCCTTTATTACTCTACTCACTTCATCCACTTCACATCCACGAGCTCTCAGCTAGTATATCTCTATCCTGTGCCGCCCACCATGCTGCTATCGTGGGCTTTCCAACCCAGTCAGAGCCAAATATAATCCCTGACTACGAGGTCAGGCTCTTGCTCAATCCGACAGCGGTTCTTGGCCCTGAACATGAGCTAACGAGTACTGTTCTATCGGCCTTCCATATTGCCCCGACTGTCACTAGGATGGGTGTCCAGTTCCTCGACAAGGGCTCCAAGGAGATCTATCTCGCCGGCTGGAGCACCCGTATCCGCAAGGCTGAAAACGAGAACGACTTCGAGTTGACGTACAAGAAGCGGTATCCCATCGTGGGCGGCGATGTTGATGCCGCTCTCACTCTGGCTAATAAAGATGGTTTAAACGCCACGAGCACAAAATATAAGGCGCAAGTAGAATGGGGTTACCAGAAGCAGACACTTTCTATCAGCCGCAAGAAAACCGCAACGGATACCGGGGTTGGCAGAATTGACTTACCGGATACCACCAACTCGCGTAAAATGCTGATCGATGAGGCGCCGGATAAATTCGACAACTTTGGGAGCAACAAATGGGGCACCAGCGCGTTAGCTGTGTCGCGCATCTTTGGGCCAGTCCTCGTCAGGCGCTCCACTGGCTTGTGGAAAGGAATGCAGCTATACCTCGAGATCTGGCCGATTCTGAACTCCACAGGCACAGGAATAGAGTACATTGTTGAGGCTTCTTTCAAAACGACGTGTCGAATGACAGCCTCGGTTAAGCAGACAGAGTTGACTGCCTATTTGGAGAGCCAGGGCTGGCTGTTCGCGGAGGACTCGCTGAAGACACAGCTCATTATGGAGCGCTACTAATGTGGCGCGTTTGTGGAGTCAGAGGTCCGCTGTATTGAATTTACACGCGAATACATGCCTGAAATTATTATGTAACCGATGTACGAAGGAATACATACGCAACTCCCGAAAGAACTCTAAATACAGACTAGTGTGTCTTAGCGTCAGGGGCAGGAAAGTCAATCGAAGAGTGGAGTGGTGGCTGCACTGGTTTCGCGACGTACTGTATCAGTAGACAAATTTCCGTTCAGCAATTTTTCCTCGTGGTTGATGCAGCTGCTCTCGCAAGGACAATTTGGCGCCTCTCCACAACGCGGAAGATTTAAGTTCGACTCCCGAGGACAGCGTCGTAAAAATGGCCCAGATGTCTGTCTTGGCCTTATCATGCACATTAAGTCGCGCAGCAAGTGCTGCAGATGCCGCAAGCGATGGTCTCTGACGGGTAACCCGCGTCTTATTGCAGTAGCAATATCCTGCAACCCGTCCTCAATCGGAAGGAACCACTCCTTGAAGGCGGGTTCCTGTTCGAATTTCTGCAGAAATTCCGAGTATCCAAGGCAGATGAGCTGGCTATCTTCGGTTTCGGCCTTTTTCGTCATTATTTCGCCTATGGCCATCCGTTGTCCTCGCCACAGCATGCAATTCCCCATCCCGTTATACCGCATATTGTACCACCCAACAAGAGCCGCAGTTAAGACTCCTACCAGAGAGGTAATAGAAAGAACCAGAGGCGCGACTTCGACCATGATATTATTTGAATATTCCACTTACCGCAGCCATACAAGCTGTGCCTCCAGTCTAACCCAAGGAATGGGCTTAGGCTCTATTTAACATCTCCGGGTCTTTCTGGCTTCCAGCAGACAACACAGCATGGTACGATCCTGGTGCGTGTCTAGATTGTTTTAAGACCCTCTAGATCCTGAAAATCAACAGTATATTCTTGTTATAAACCTTGATTGCGGTCGTCAACTATATTCTTGATCTTTACCCTCACCGATTGTTTTTCTTTTTCTTTGGGTCGGGCATTCAAGCCTGGTCTGATCTTCGATTCCTGCCGTAGTCCTCGCAACCGCATGTTGTATATATACTACGTCTGATATCGGAGAACTCTGGCCTTTTTATCATTGAACAGTTCTCACTTAATCTAATAATAAAGTGTCTATATAATTCTAAGCCAGAAATTCGCAACCGTTCTTTCACGAGTACCGTTCACTTGTACCCTTACTAAATCTCCTCATAGCCTAGAGAAACATTGCGTTATATTTCTCCCTTTTTAATCTACATGTTTGAAAAAAAGATATTGAAAATTTTTATCTAACGTTCGGCAACTACACACGTTATGTGTACAAGGCTTTCGCTTATAACCCAAGACA